GTAATTTCATACAAAATGTTAATCAATGTAATAAACAAGAGCATCCTTTAATTGATTGGTCTGAATGTGATCAGCTAATACAACTAGCTCAACCAGTTTGTATTCCAGCAAATGAATGTAGTTCCGATTTAAGTTTTCAAAACATTAGTTGGAATTCAATACATTCACTGACGATTACACAAAATTATAAAAATTCATTAATTCAAGATAATAATTCATTGATAAAAATTCTTGAATTTGGACATCCGAATGAACAACAACAAATTATCCGACTAAAATTAATTAACTTAGGTCCTACCAAATCAACTGGACTTCAGATTTTAACACGTTTATCTAATTGGTATCTTATAGATGATGAAAACTTCACTTACACCAATGGTATCCAAGGTAAAATCATTCAAATAAATATTAAAAAGTTATCCAGAAATGAAACCAATTCAGTGAATCTTATCAATTCAACAGATAAAAAGATATGGACAATTAATATTGATGAGAATGGCTTATTAGCACTAATTTCATTATCCCCATATTTATGGATTTATCCAAATGAAATTATACAAATAGATGTACATGTGTTTATTCAAGGTCTGTTGTCAGTGACAACTCTTTCAACAGGTCAAGCATTAAACAATAATAATACGATGTCATTTAGTGATTCAAATGTGAATTTTATATATCCGCCAAAATTTGAAATTCAAGTGACATCTGAAACAAACGATAAACGAAAAGAAAACAATTTAATAAGTATACCCTGTAGAATTGTTTATAAACCAAAAGTGAATATTTTTGCTGGCATACAACCATCAACTATAATCGATGATAGATTGGAGCCTTATACAACTAAACAAAGTAAGAATACTCTTTTCTATCAATATGATTACGATATCAAGTAACGTTTCTATAATAAAACATTTAGTTCTACAGAAGAAGTAGTCATATCCATAAATAGATGTTTAGATTGACGTTGTTTTGCCTTCCTTAACACTGGAATTTTATTGATCACTATTGATTAAAACATACTCAGTGTCTAATCGTTTCGAATAAATTCACCAAATACTATTTAGCTGAAATATTGATAAACTTATATGATAAAAATTTAGCTTAAATGCGTTTTGAATCAATATCGCATTTAAGTTTTTCTTATTTTACATATTATAATTGAAGTAAAATCACTAATGCTGAAATGATGAAAAACATGTAAATCTCACCGGGTAAATAATAATATCCGATTGTCACAAAATTTTATCATGACTAACAGACATTTTAGGCCTTTTTTTAGGCCTTATTTAAGAAAGATAAGAATTATAGGACAATATAGATTACACAATTCACATCAAACAGTATGACAAGAGGTCACACGAAGTCAAAATAAATAAGTAAGAGATGATAAGGAAAAATTGGTAGCTCAAAAGGATGATTATGGTGAGGTTTTGTTCTTTGAGTTTGATGGTTTAGTCGTGAAACTTTCATTGTTGTTCTAAACAACGCCATCAGTACAAACTTCAGGTAGAAGTGAAGTATTGGAACTTCTTCACATACGAATCGTAGTTTATCATGCTAACCTCGATCTTGATTGGCTGTTATTGACCTAAAACTTGTTGTTATCTGCCTCTTTGTTTTGATTGTATCTCTCTATGATTTGATGCTTGGTCATAAATTAATCCATGATTTTTCTGACTGGTTTACAAATTGAATCGATTTCGATTTGTCTGCTGATTGATGTTCAGAAGAACAATGAAATCTCCACAACCAGACCATCAAGCTCAGAGAATGAAACTCCACCAAAAATAAGCAGGAAAACAGATTGACGAATGAGTCAAAATACAAGCTGACTGTTTAACAAGCCGTATATAACTATGAAAAGATTTTGCATTATAGTAATGTCATTCCTTGATACGTATAAAAAGAAGGAAGGTTTGACGGAGTAGCTTCTGAGAGTCAATCACATAAATATCTTCACTGTGCTTAATTTTGACTGATAAGACATCTAAAGCATTCCTTTAAATAATGAAATAAATATTATAAGTGAATTCACTTTTTTAGACATAACGAAATACAACACTCTGTTGATAGCAGATTTTTATGAGTAAGGCTCTTTACTATTTCGCAAACAGGTAGTCAAACTTTCTGAATTAGTGTTATTGAACATTGATAGTCATACTGTAGGAATAAGATATTTAAACCAACTAACCATTCAGTAGTAGTGATCAATGTCGTTATGATCCTAGTTATGATCCAAAACGTTGCACTGTGGTCACTAATTAAGGTAATTTGGCTCCTTGTTCACTGTAAGTAGCCCAGAAGTAACACTTTGACTGTGATACTGGAGGACACAGGAAATATCGATTCTCCTAAGACTGAGGATACATTTTTATAAGTGGTAGCCTGCAACAAACCTGAATTCTTCCAATTACACAGAATCACTACTGAAAATGACTTAACTGATAATTATATATTTGCTTCTAACGTTCTGTTCGGTCTAGTTTGTAACTTTAGAAAGTCTAATTTGAACAGTTCGTATAATGTTAAAGCAAGGAAGTCATTTTTAAATCATCCTAAATTGAAAACTATCAATTTTCATTTTTGCTTTGTTTTACACTACTTCATTGAAATTCAGTACAATGTAAATAAACAATTTTGTAATTTTTCAAGCAAACTGTATACACTATTTAATGACAACAAACAAATACTTATGTAGCCTTATTGTTTTCCAGACACAATTTCACGTAAACTATTTTCATATGATATTGGGCCACGAATTGAACATACATTCCTTATCGAAAATCAAGGATGGATAACTATGACTAATCTAAGCCTAATCTTACAGTTACCATATGAGACAACTGACGGTCATAGATTACTATATTTAACTGATCAAATTCGTGAGGCGTCATACACAAATCAAAGTAAGTTGTTTGATCATTTGCACTGTTCTGACGGCGTGAGTAAACATTGCGTTGTATTATATTCGATGAACTGAAATAGTGAAGTAAATACGTTAGTTATTTATGTTATTCCTAATAATTATATAAGCGTTTATCAAAGAATAGTAGCAGTTAGGAGAATCAGTAAACAAAATTTACAACAATATCCAAACACCTGATTCATTTTCTTTTACAATTTTATATTAGCGCTTATGATATGACCTAATTTCGTATCCTATTGAATAACTTCAAATCAAGCAGATAGAATAAAACTATTTAGTTAGTAGTTCATAATTTATGATTAACTCTTTTCTACTTAGAATATTTTGTCGCCATTGTAGAGTAATGTCGTTGAGTATTGATTTTTTGTTCTACTTTGATTGTTCTCATGAGTCAAGGTTTTCCGTTGAAATCTCAAAGGTACTAACGTCGAAACAATTCACTAATATCTAATAACTAAATTCATTTAGGATGTTTCTGGAAAATCTATTCATTTGAAAAAAAACTTATGAATGCCTAACCACCGACTGCCTTGATGAGCGATGTTTTGTGCTGGAAGAAATCTAGGGGCGGCCAGATCATAACATGGCACAAATCCATAAAGTCACTGACAACTGGACTGTTATGTTAGCAAGTGTACAGAATCTGGTTGGGGCACGCGAGACGATATTAACTGATGGTTAGAGATCTTGAACCTCATGACTCAAAACCGTTTGCAGTTGTACAGGTGCATTCATTGTTTGTGTTCTCTCAAATACTAATATTATGAATCCCTAATCATTCCTATCTTTCTTTTTCTAAAATTATCTCACTGAATTGTACTTCTAGAACCATACCTCCGAAACCTAATCTTCTCCATTAGTGCTATTACTTCTGCTATCTCTACCACTATGGGATTTAAACTGACAGTTGCGTCGCTGTGCCAATCTGGTATCGCAACCTGAACTTATGTATTTACGCACGAAGTTCTACTCTGTAATTGACTGACTCACTGACATTATTCATCTGACGATAATTCAGTACTACTGTTTCATAGTTACATGCTATGCCATATATATATATATATGGATAGTATAACAAGAAGACGAAGATTATCAAAACTATGTAATATATATATATATATATATATATATATATATATATGCTCAATATATTTCGAACAATCTGATCACACAAATACTTGTTAAGAATAATTATATATGGAAAATAGAAAATAAAAACAGACAAATGAAGTGTAAGTTTGAGAAAGGAAATCAATGTGCTAAAAACAATCTGAAACTTACCACCCTAGATAATAACACAATATTATCAAGGTAAGTATAGTGTGGTTTAGGATACCTCAAAAGTATGCACCCATGAAAGTAAATCTGTTTGAACTAAACACTATAAGTTCAATTAATTTGTTGAAATGAATTTAACCTGTTTAACAATCAAGTAATTGTATTGATAATTTTCTTGTCTAAAATATATGAAAATCTATCATGGAATCAATTTTTGCTAAATTTTTGCTACATAATTATAAAACTGTCACAGAATTAATTAACTTAGTTCCCCTGTATAAACAATGTTATGGTACTTACTTACTTACTTACGCCTGTTACCACCAATGGAGCATAGGCCACCCACCAGCAGCATTCTACAACCAACTCTGTACTGGGATTCCCTTTCCAGTTCTGTCCAACTTTTGTTCATTCCTCTCATATCTTTCTCTATTTCTCGATGTAATGTGTTCCTTGGCCTTCCTCTTTTCCTTTTGCCTTGAGGGTTCCGAGTGAGGCAGTCAGTTGCTTTTCGTAGTGTGTGTCCTATCCACTTCCAACGCTTCTTCCTCATTTCCTCCTCCACTAGAAACTAGTTTGTTCTCTCCCACAGTACGTTGTTGCTGATCGTGTCTGGCCAACGAATACGAAGTATTTTGCGTAGACAACTGTTCATAAATACTTGTATCTTCTGTATGATGGCTTTGGTAGTCCTCCAAGTTTCCGCTTCATACAGTAGAACTGTCTTGACATTTGTATTGAAAATCGTGATTTTGGTTTTGGTTGGAAGTTTTTGGAGTTCCAGATATTTTTCAACTGTAGAAATGCAACCCTTGCTTTGCCAATCCGCGTCCTCACATCTGCATCGGATCCACCTTGGTTGTCGATGATGCGATTTTATGGTAGGATTCCCTTATTCTAAAATTTATTGTCAGTGTTATTATCACATTATTCCTATACATATTTTGATTGTTCAACAGCAACTCTATTGAAAAATATTTTACCAACTGTAATCAGTTCTGATGGAAGACAATTCGGTGCCTGTGAATTGCCAAAAGAATTCATCAACCCACTAGAACTTACATTGATGGATTTCAAATTTATCGGTACGTATAAAAAGTATTTTTCTTATTGTATACACACTGTTATTAATCTTATTTAAACTGTTCAAATATGCTGAACAGTTCATTAACTAATTAATTAATTGAAACGATGAATTAAAACAACTTTGTATTGAATAAAGTGTTTATGTAAAGTTTCCAAACAATTCAAAAACAATTTCTTTTGGAAACTGATATCATTTGCAGACTTTTCGAGAAACAAAGATTGTTAGTTATGTACTGGACTGTATTTGCTTTGCGATTTCTTAATATTGAGGCCTTTACTTCTCTAGAAACTGAACTCGGAAACTTTAAGTTTTACTAAAACAGAACATTTAAACCATTAAATCCAATGGTCGTAAGTTTCTTCTTCAATCAAGCTATGATATAGCATACTCCCCATCCAATGTTATTTGTGAGTTACTTCCAATGAATATCATTATTAGTTGAAATGATCGTTTTGTGGAGCGTTTCACAACTATTTTCATTGAATCCTGATCATAATTTTCATTGAAATATGGCAATCAATTATTTTGTCGGTTCCTGAAATAATGAAGTTCATTAATTTGTTAAATTACTGTGGTACATTAAAATCACAAAGATGATTTAGTCACTAATGATATAAGTTTATATCGACTAATTTAAAATTACGTGTTTTTTTAAAATACTTCTTAATAATTGACTTTGACGCTTAAAGGATAAGTATCGCAATTATTTAAAACTTGATTAGAATTAGTAAATATTCATTATAAAAAAAACTCATTCAGTCTGTTTATACATTTAAACATTGACACCCTTGTTTTGCACAAATTACATTATCAATAATATACTAGGTAAGAGAATATGTTCAACCGTTGTTGTCATTACATTCAAATTATACTACTGAACAATTTTTTTCAACACAGTATGAATACATGCCTAGTTTTATTCTATGGTAATCTTGGCTAATTAATATGAAATTAGACAAATATCGTTTTGATTAATGTAGTGAATAAAACCAATGATCCTGTTAATTATAAACCTAAACTCTACTTTATAAACGAATCACGCTAAGACTAAATGAAATTATTCAAGTGAAGTTAAAAATAACATTTATTATTAAGTCAAGAATATCAACCACACTTCTATTTGTACAGTTAATTTTTTTACAAAAATGATATCGAAATTTGTTTATATTAACGGCTGTCTGGATTGACTTCTATGAAAAATAAATAGTACACCGAGTTACACAAGTAGTGAATTGTCAAATATGAAAATGTAAGTCATTGATAAGAATCTGATGGAATAAAATGTGTTATTCTTACTCTTCTTTTCAAAAGAACTAGATCGGTGGTGTTGTTTTTAGTTTATAAATTATTACAGAGGTTTGTGTGTTGACATATAGTTGTCTCTATTTATAATTAAAAAGAGAACAACCAGAATAGTTTAATGTGCATTCATTAAGGGAACTAATTATACTGAGTAAGATGTTGAAATATACTTACCCATTAATAAATAAACAGATTCATTACTTATGTTGAGATTCAAATTACGTCCATATGATATACTTCAGACAAAACAAGTACAGATATATGACAGTTCACCATCTCTAAACAAATTTGTTGTGTCAAGTACCATCTGGTGTAAAATTATCTTTTTTTTTCATCAATGAACAGGTGAAAACTAGTTTATACTTCAATTATATGACTCAGTCAGTCAGGTACCTTCAAAACGATACGTGTAGTATTACTAATCAGTCATACATCAGGTACATCACTATAACTCAACTTGAGTGTGCATTGAAAACGATAATAATTAATTCTAATTGAGATTATGAATCAATCATTGCTAGACCAACACCAGAATCCTGGAAGCTCTGGACGGTCTCTTCGTCCTGAGTCATCAGCAGTAAGCATCCACAACTCCCGCTACTCACAGGAATCGAGCTCAGCAAGCGAACGCATATGGTCAGGACCACTGAACCGACATGATTGATTCATGGACTTGAATAATGAACAACAATCTTCATAGCTCTATAATGAAGATAATGATTAACGTTAAATTTGATGATTAGTCAGCAATAATACAATACACAATAGAATAATCTATTCTACAGCGTTATTTTACATGTCCATTCCAAATTTCACCAGAAATATTTTAATGACAAACCGGAATTCAAATGCTTATGAAATTTCCTCATGAAATCTAATGTAAACCATATTATGTAATTTATTCTGGGATTTTTTTCTAACCATTTACCCTACACCTACAATCTTAGTATTCTTTATTATTTTGATTAAATCTCTCTTGGTTTCTTATCGAATTGGTTGGTATTCTAAGTTATAGTTATTATAAAAAGATATTTTCATCGTCTTCAGAACTCCATATTCTTTTTTTCTAATGATTTAACAGAGTTATGCAATTTTCTCATATCTTACATATTGCTTTATAGTTGTTGTCAGTTAGAACTAGATTTTAACCAAGCATAAATGCTCTCTTATCACATTAGATAATACTGATAGGTAGTAAGAATAAATGACCGCTTCAGAATCTAAGTTCACAGTTTCTTTTATTACAAATGTTCCTTTTATTACTTTTCTATAATCAATTTACCATGTATTGGCTAAACCGGTTAAGATAATGAATATTTTCGGTTAAACTGCAGAAGAATTTTGAACTGCTTTGGGTTTGAAAGGTAAATTTTAAGCTTCGAATGTGAATATCTTAATAAGTGTTAAATAAAGTATTAAAGATATTGTAAGTTTGTAAGGAAGAATCTGTTGTACCATAGTACAGTAGACATGATAGCATATAAGATCAAAAGACATTTAAAGTATTTTTCTGCTTTCATCCAAATTTTATTGACAGTGTACACTAGTAACAAAGAATTCATTTACTGGCCTTTTAGAGATAGCTCTTATTTAAGTCTTTTTATTAGTACTGTACTGGATAAGAACAACTCTTTTCTTGTTTGTATTGGAAAGGTGAGAGAGAGAGAGAGAGAAGTAAAGAGTTACTAAATTCTGCCGTCATAGTAAACTTTTATTGTTTTTTACATAGACATCCTATTAGGCAGCCTAATAAACGGTTGACTATATAAGATATCGTAACCCTTTAACGCGAAAATCAATGTTACCATCATATACGTCTTACTTAGAAATGAAATGACTACCTAGGAGGAAATTAAAAGTAGGATGGAATCTCATCGGCCATATTTATGATTGATCGTTTTTAGTTCGGAATAGGTTACATTGCATTGCAACGTATTCATATGGTAGGGTCCTTGTACGAAATACCATTATTACGCAGAGAAGTTAACAACTTAATAGTATATTTTATGTAGTAATATTGAAAATATAACAATATATATAGTATTTCTGCTTGTTAATGACAAAGTTTGGATCAGAAAATATTTTCTATTTTGCATTTTTTTTTCTTCAATGAATCAAACATGTATGACAAGTGTTTGATTACACAACGAAATAAGATAACATATTCAATAAAGTCTACTTCATTCTTCTTAAACTAATATCATTGACATTGTCACAATGATGTTGGTGTATAAAATCATACATTTCGTTTTTCGGTGCTATTGTTATTTGAGTATAGATCGTAATGAATTCCGATTTCACTCGTTGAACAATATTTATTCATTCCAATGAACGGCCTAGTGTGTGACGAAATCTCAGCACGGATACAGAAAGCTCGATTGGCTTTTGCCAACCTGCGTCACTTATGGCGTAGGCGTGATATCCGTTCTCTAACCAAAGGACGGGTGTACTGCGCAGCAGTTCGCTCCGTTCTTCTCTATGGATGCGAAACATGGCCGGTAAGACTATAAGATACTCGTAGGTTACTAGTGTTCGATCACAGATGTCTTCGAAGCATTGCTCGTATATCGTGGGACAACCGAGTAAGCAATGCTGTCGTTAGGAAACGGGTGCTAGGTAAGGATGGGAGAGCAATAGATGAAGTGGTGAAACTTCATCAGTTGAGGTGGTTGGGACATGTGTTACGAATGCCTAACCGCCGACTGCCTTGACGAGCTATGTTTTGTAGTGTAGGAGTAGGTTGGAAGAAAGCTATGGGCGGCCAGACCAAAACATGACCGAAATCCATGAAGTCACTGACAAGTGGACTGAGTCATGTTGGTAGATGTCGACTACCTGTTTGGGGCCTGAGCGATGATAATAATCGATGGTTAGAGACCCTGAATGACATGGCTCAAAACCGTTTGCAATGGCGCAGGTGCATCTATTCCTTATGTTCTCTGAAATCGTAACCTTCTGAATTCCTTATCACTTTATCTTTTTCTTTTTAAGTTTATTTCACTAGATTCTACTTCTTCAATGGTATCTTCGAACTCTAAAATTTCCGATTACTATTAATACCTTTACTACCTCTACTACTATGGGATTTGAATTGACAATTACATCTCTGTGGTAATGTGGTATGACAACTTGAACTGATGTATGTACGTACAAAGTTCTACGTTACTGTTGATGATGATGCTGAATCAATGATTAAATATTTTGAATAAAGATGTCTGATATGGAAAAATTCTACCACATGATTACAAATTATCCAATGTTATCCAGTGTTTGTCTGAATTGAGCATTTCATTTTATAGTACTTAAAATGAAATTTTTGTCTAGAACAATGAAAGATCACAAAGAATTATAAATAAACAAAGAATATTTGTCTGAATTTATATAAAACTGGACCTTTTTTATCCCACATACACAGGGACATTTAAGATTTGTACTTTTATACACCTAGACTTTATCAATATGAACTTTATTGTGACTGTTAAAATTTTATCATTTTATTGGAAAATCTTTCACAAAAAAACTAAGAAAAGTTTGTTATAACTATCTTAAATGTTATGACTATATTTGTTGTGCCGTGAGTCATTCTGTGTGTACATAAACTGGTGACATGGAAATATGCATATATCACGTTAATGATGTCTGCTATCTGTGACAAACCGAGTTGTTAACAAAGATCACCGGTCGGTTTTACAGCTAAAACGCACAAGCATTTTTCTGCATAAAAATATGGCCAAAAATGTACTAATACAATTAATGATCCTTAACGTGATATCACATCAGATCACAAAAAGCATCCACTGTTGCAATGTTTCAAATTTGGAGGAAAAAAGTATTCATTTATCTTTAGTTTCGGTCACACCTAAGATAATATCAGTTCATAACAAATAAATTTCAAGCTTTTTGACCTTTGAGTGGAAATGATCAATTTACTAACATTTAACTATACCTAAAGAATGCTTAAAGAATGTTCATATGAATTTTCTGGACTCAGAAAATAAATCAAAATGATACATGACATTCCTATTTAAATAATTTATTTACTGTCAGGTACACAATCGGATCTGTGTAAATCGAATTAAGTAGTATTTAACACCAATGAATCAATCGCTCACTGTATGAACAGATATACGGATTTATAATCAACAGACATAACTAGTTGACTAAGCTATATAATTACTTCATTTCACGATGTGGCATGGATCATTGGAAAAAATCAAACCCATGTGTCGTTCGTACTTCAATCGATTTATTCATTCCTCATCGTAACATGCTGAATTAAAAAAATAACGATGAAAAGTTAAAGAAGATTTCTATTCATGAGTTTTATAAATACCACTATATTAATTCAGCATTATTCCAGTTAATATAACTTAGTTTTATTTGTATCAAATCACTATTCTGTAAATAATAAATCGATAGAAATAAACATATTATCTAGATACATGAAAAGTCAGTCAGCAACGACGCAGAACTAAGTGCGTATGTGCATCAGTTCAAGTTGCCATACCAAATTAGCACAGAAAGATGGAATTGTCAATTCAAATCCCATATTAGTAGAAGTTGTAGCAGTATTAACAGTAATAGAAAAGATTAGAGATAAAAAAAATCTGATTCGAGATGTATTATTATCAAGTGAAATAAATCTAAAAACGCAAAAATATCATGAGTAATTCAGAAGATTGGGATTTGAGAGAAAACAAAGAACTGATGCATCTGAGCCACTGCAAACAATTTTGAGCCATGTCATTCAAAATATTTAACCATCTTAGATGATAAACTAAAAGTATATTAACTTTTCAGGATGAAATAGCGGTTGAGGTAATTTCTGTTTATTGATTATTATTCAGAGGTGCTTATTACTGTAGATTACACTGTTTTCATTTATATTGATTTTAGAAATGTACGACACTTTTAAAAGTCAGAGGCACTTGAGAGAAATCTCCAGACATAGGTTTTATTATTGTTGACGCTCGTCAATTAGGCCTGCCTGCACTTACTTGATTACACCTGTCACCGCTCAAGAAGTACATGCCGCGATCTTCCAGCCAACTCTGTAGTGGGATCCTATCCAAGTGTTATCTACTCTTTCAATGTATGCCTCAAATACCCAGTGCAATATCTTCTTTGGTCTTTCTCTATTTATCCTACCCTGAGTGCTTCAAGTTAGGGCATACTTCGTGATGAAGTTTGTCCTATCCACCTTGAAGATATGCTGTCTAATTTCGTCTTCAGCTGAAGGCTAGTTTGTTCTTTGTCACAGTGGGTTGATGCTTGTGATGTCTTACCTATGGATCTTCAGTATCTTGTGTACAAAACTGTTTCTAAATACCTGTATCTTATGAATGATCTTTTTTGTAGTTCTCCAAAAGTCTACCTGTAACACTGCATAAAACAAGGTTCATCTTTGATAAGCCCTAAAATTTTGTCAAAAGGTTAGCAGATTTAATTTTTAATAATAATCTGAACACAAAAAGAATTACAAAATCACATTAAAAATCGATGTTTCATGTTGCAAGAAATAAATACATATGGTCGGATTCGGTTTACATTTTTTGTCATCAGAGACCATATTTAGTGCTAAATCGATCTACCTTTAGTAATGTGCCATTTAAGTACTCTGGTACTGTATTGACAATCGGTAATAAGAATCGCTGATTACTTTCTCAATAGTTTAAATATTTAACAATAATATTTACAACTAATTTTTTGTCATAAATTATGTTGTGTTGTCATTTACGAAAAACAAATTTAGACATTATTCAAATCATATAAAGTTTGAATGCATAAATTGTCTAATATGTCTGGTTGTTTTTACAATATTGAAAAAATTAAACATTTACAACAATTTTTAAAATACGTTACCTGTTATATAAATATGTTCAAATTATATTACCTGTTAACAGTGTAATTACTATTTATTAAATCAAATAAATAATGAGACCAGTCTTTAAATGATCGAAATAATATTTGACCACTTCATTAAATTCACTTTTCAATAACTTAAGAGTAAAAAGTATAAATAGTAACACATTCACAATAATCTAATTATACAGATTAAGTATACCAAGTACCTGCTGATCACATGATGCTGAAAATGACTGAATTTAATAAGCTGAATGAGACTATTTCTGTCGTACAATGAAGAACCCTTAAAAACCATGTGACAGTGGACTTAAGATTTCTTAATCACATGCGCCTAACATTTTACGCGAGAGTAAGCTGTAGGATTTTCAGGTTTGAAAACGAACTTGATATCCAGTAATTATGATACGATTATTGTATTCAACGGTTGATGGAAAAATCAGATTGATTTATTAAGAGAGTTCCATTTGTGGCTTTTAGGATAGAATTTTAGGCTTATTTTAAGAGTAGTATTACACCAGTAGAAAATAAGTTAATCTCTTTTGATTCTTCCAACAGTTATTAGCAGTCGACGTATCACCCAGTGATTTTTCGATTATTAATAGTGTTATGTATTGCATTTGTGTACCTGTTCTTTGAAAATTGTTCTTCTGTACCACTTACATGACTTTATCCCATTAGCAATGGTTCTGTTCCGATAAAAGTTCTAGTGTTCCTGTCAGTTACTTCGCTATTTATTAATATGCTACTGAATTACAGGCACCTAGTACCTCAAAAATACTTCATAAATACTTCCTCGATACCTTTGAACATCCTAAACCATATCGACATAGATAAATATCTGATCACAATTGCGGGACGTGATTCTGTATTTTCTAGATGCTTATGCGAAGGTCCTACTCAACGCTGATTGAATAAACTGTTTCTAATAATTGTCTAGGCCTTTCTAGACTTTTAGGGTGAGTACTTTGGAGTTTATAAACAACTTTAATCAAATGGTTTCATAGGAGTTTCATTTTATTTCACTATTTACAGATAAACATTTGTTCGCCTCCTTTTTTCATTACCAATCTCTAGCCTCAAGATTCATTCCTGGACTCAGAATATTCAAGTAGTACTGTTCTGTATGATGACTACACTAAAATAATCCAAGGTCATCTCAACGCTAAAAATGAAAACCGAAGCTCAGAATGGCTTCATTCTTAACTAATAACTACTATCTCAAGATTTTTTCGTGTAAATAGTCAGTTTAATAATAGATAGCTGAAAGGATAAGCATGTTGACCTATTTCTTTTTTTCTATCTCATTACTTCTATTGGTTAGATTTATGACAAAATGCTTGTTTGAGTTTAACCGTTTTCATCATCTGTATAGATATCTGTTTGTAGACCAGAAAAAAAGTATATTGTGTATAAATGGGGTCTCTGCTACGTCAATACACCGTTCTGAGGGTAGGAAAAATATACAAGTAGTTGTAATTCATAAATGGTTGAATAATGCCTAGATTGGTTGAACAGTTCCAAATGAATGTGGTAAATCCCTTAACGCGTCCATCAGTTTTCATCTAGCTAGGCGTTTTACATATGTTACTTATCATAACCAACTGTTTAACTCAACAAAATATGCTAATTGATAAGTTTAGATTTATTCAGAAGCACACACTAATGGCTGTATAGGTGCATAAACACCATAACCAATATACTTTCTTGTAATATTATTTCCCAAGCTTAGACCCTATAAAAAAACTTAGAATTTCTTCAGGGAAATAAACTGATATTTTGGTTAGCTAATGGTAGAATCTCTGACAATAATTTATTTGTAAAGTTTTGTTTGAATCTTCTCGTTCTTGATGCTGACGAACTGAACTAATCAACCTTAAGGTACCGAGTTCGATTCCCGAAATGTATACTTAGTTAGTGAGTTAAAACATGTGTCCTGAATTCAGCACTCGATCGTCATCCAACTCTATTTAAAAATATTCTTACTAACACTGTTTTCATGTCATACAGACACGTAGAAAACCTTGTCACAATTGATTCGTTATCATAAAGCTAGTAAATTTAAACACAATATCTACCTAATATTATTTTTCTGCTATTTATCAATTTCTTAAATAATTTCCAAAAGCAGAAAATCCATAAAAGTTTATCCATCCAAAAAATAACGCACTGATATCTAAGATTCATTTAATTTATTTAAACTCGTGCTTTGATTTTATCATTGTCGGTCAAATAAAAAGCATATTACAACATTCTATTCATAAAATCATTTTGAGAAATCAGTTTCACATTCTATGTTGTTTATACAATCCTGTTTAAATATTGTAAAACTGTTTTAAGACAAGCGCCATCTAATTTTATATTACCAAACAAAGTTAGGATACTTCGTAGTCTCTTAAAGTCAGTAGTAAAAATATGGCATCTATGAAAAAGTAATGTAACAGAAAAAAAATTAGTTGACTAATAGCAATAGAAAATGGAACATTGTGCTTGTGACATTTTTAAACTTACTCTTACCAATTCGTTTCTTTTCATTTTCTCTTTGCATTTGACATTTACATTTCAGATGGAACAACACGAAAATCTGCATATAATTCACTTGTTAGAAATACAAAGCGCAACAAACGAAATATTAAACAGTCACATAAATCGTCATTGTCTTATTCGCAAAATATGCAAAATTCCGATACAAATTTAACATCGGATTTATATCAAAATATCATACAACAAACTAATAAAAATAGAATCATATTAAATTGTCCATATTTAAGCCATTTAACAAACACATCAAAAAGTATTCAATCTATGGAAAATGATTATTTGATTAAATGTATCAATGTTCAATGCAAAATAAATCATTTCAAACATGGTGATACAGTAAGATTAAAATGGACTGGTTGGTTATGGGCTGAAACATTTTTCCAGTTGCAAAAATCTGATATACAATTTATCAGTAGACTAAACATTGATAATTGGGGTGATCTACCTATGGTTATTAAAGCTTACCATGATATTCAAGAAAATCTTTCACGCAATCAAAGTCATACACTGAAAACTAGTGTCAAATTTATTGATATTAAATATCCACTTGACAATTACTTTGAACTTAAACAATCAATCATTTTTCATGGTGTTCAGTTGAAAGTAACGCGCAAAGTACCATTATGGCCAGTTATAACTGGTATAGTTGTTGGTCTATGGATTTTGATCATTTTATGTGCATTATTATACTGTTGTGGATTTTTCACTAGACGACGGAAATATTCTACAATGACAGTAAAGAAAATGTCTTTTTCACATATAAATAATAATTTTAATGAAGAAAATCATCATGACAATGATATTGACAAGTTTTCTGAATGGAATTCTTTGCCAGATCCATTGATTAAAAGTGGAAATAGTCATCGTAATCCATTGGAAATTTCTAATTCAAAATTTCCAATGTTAATCAAAAATAATCAGTTTAAATATGATGATAACAACGAGAAAGTCAGTCAGTCAAATTCGAATGATAACTTATTTTCAGAAGAACATGTTAACAAGGATAATGTACAGGCTTATGATAATGAATGTCAACATGCTCTAGTTAAAACATTGACAAAACCTAATGAGAACGATGACTGTTTCAACTTATTATTATTAAAACAACCTAAAACAATATCACCAGAAAAATATGAATCACAAAAGTTAGAAGTTATTGAAGAAGACAAGGAATCATCTAGATCATCAATTTCTTAAACCAATGGCATTTAATTTTGAACGTGTGTGAATTTTCTCGAAAAGTCATGAATAACAAACAATTGGTCTTCAAAATTCGATAATGACGTTGTTTTTTTTGATTTTTAAAAGAGATAATTCTGAACATCAGTATTTTATGGCATAAGTTTCACACAAATTCATATCTATTTCTGTTCCTTTCATCACTTTGATGTTTACACATATGAAGCACTATTCAAACTTCAATGTGTAATAAAACTGTTTTAAAATTTGAGTTTTTTGTTTACTATTTCAGTTAACTAATCCCATATTGATAATGAATAGACAAATTACCATCTTATGGTTATAACTTTATGGAATATTAGATATGATGATATATCTATAAGAAATTTTCGATAGAATATTATCTTTTTGTTTGAATATCTATTTTTAATAAAAAAAAAGCTGTCATAAATCTCTTTCAATACATTTAATGGGAATAAAATGATTGTTGATATGTTGACTTGTTTTATTTTATTGTATTTTTATTCAATATTAATCAGAACTTCATTGCAGAGTTTGAAAAGAGATACGGGCTAAATGTGATCACCAAGGAAATAGTTTCCCAAATGTCTCTTTACTGATAGATTAGTGAGTTATATAAGACTGAAATTAATCAGCCAGGAATTCTAAAACTACAGCTTCATGCTTGTTGCTGCCTTTTATACGTGTGCTATGTATCCTTTTAAGTGCCCTCATAAAAAATACAATATCCACTCAGTCTATGAATGACTGAACGAATTACCCAAATAGGTAAACGAGCATACACATGAAAATTCATAACTGATAACTCGAGAATGAATACAAAATGAATAGGATCACTGAAATAAGACGTGTGTTACTGACATAAGTTGGACCTTAAATCAGTTAAGACAAGAACAACACTGACTGGGTGATAGACTTCTATGGACTTTCTTTTTGACTGATAAGTGTGTCTATCGACATTGGCTAGTTATTCTTGTTTTGATTATAAGATAGGCAGTTAGTTATTAGACAAGTCAGAAAAATGTAATTACCAATGCGTTATAGAATGAACCCCTGATCTTTGAATTTCTCTGCTACGGTTCACTATATGAAATAATAGGTTGCCATTTGATGGTCCACATTTTTAACTATGATAAATTAGCAAACTACCGCAACATTTAGTCAATAGTGAATAACCACTTCACTATTAATCTGGTGTGCTTTCGTCACTTACGACTTCTCATCTGAACTTGAAAATTCAATTGCTGATGAGTACACGAGAACTGTTTGTTTTTTAAATGGTTCTTCGGTGGACATCAATCTATGCCAAAAATCGTTGACATATTCGCCATAAATTATTCGACTGAACATTATCTATGCGGTGGAAGTGGATAGGTCACACACTCCAAAAAGCACCGAACTGCGTCACAAGACAAACCCTCACTCCAAACTCTCAAGGTAAAAGGAAAAGAGGAAGGCCAAGGAACACATTATGCCGAGAAATAGAGATAGATATGAGAAGAATGAACAAACATTAGACAGAACTGGAAAGGGAATCCCAGTACAGAGTTGGTTTGAGAAAACTGGTGGGTGGCCTTTGCTCCGTTGGGGGTAACAGGCGTAAGTAAGTAAGTAAACATTATCTATCATTTTTTTGATAAACTCAATAAAAACAACTAACATATTATCTGGCATAATACACAAATTAATAAAGAAGATTACATACATTACATTGTTTTTATTATTATAAACAATAATAATGATGAAACAGCAGTACCATCACAACTTATAATTAATATTCCTAGTGTTAGCGAAAAGAAGAGTAAGACCAGAGAGAAATTAATCACGCCAGAGTAATGTGAATTGCTGTTAGAAGATAAACACACATACAAATGCACGTTTACAAACGAACAATTAGCGTCAGAAGGCAATAGAAGTAGAGATAATTTTAAAATATCAAAGACTTCCATTGTGAAAATTAAAACAACCCATATAAGTAATAAACAAGATTATTTTCAATTAGATCGTCATCAAAATTTTACTCTAATGTATATGAATATAATCATATGAAAATCTTAAACCAATCAAGGCAATTTATGAGACAATGATCACAAATCAAATAAATTACTCAACTAGATATCATAGATAAAAGTTGAAAGTTGAACATTCTAACCAACTGGTCAACATTCTCACTATTACTTGTACACTTATCTTGTTACTATCAATTTGTTATTTTATTTTGAGTTGAATGATTTAAAATTTATTGTGATTAATAACGCGTAAATCGCTTTGATTAGTTTAACATATGAATCAGGAATACTCGTGTACGCTGGGGTAAAAGTTTGATGACGATCTTAAATTAAAACAATATTGTTCGCTTGCATGAGTTGCTCTAAAAGATAATTATCATAGTATCAATACAAATAAAAAAGTAGAATGCTAATTATGAAGTAATGATTTGCAATAATAATATTAATTATTATTATTGGTTGAAGTATTTATTTTAATTTTCTTTCAAAATGAAAGAACAGCTAGTAGCATTTAAATGAACATGATTTTTCTTCTTGAATAGAATGAAAGATAAAGAAAATACAAATGTATCTATGTAGCACAAGTGAAGGTAGATGTGTAACTGTCCCACGCACACATACTCACACACACATACACTCATGCATCTATTCATTGGATTGATTTATGTACACCTGATTGGCAAATGAGGCAAGTGATCTTGATACAAAAAAGGAAAAAAAAGAACGAAGACATTGAGGTCGATATCAATAATAATAATAATAATAAATAAAATCCTGTCGAAAAATTCACATGACAGGTAGTGATTGTAAAAGTGTATAAATGTTATAAATAGGTATATATATATATATATAACTGTATACTCTTAGGCTAAACTGTGTGCACAAATACTGAAAATCTATGCAAACTGACTGGATTGATAGGAAACTGTTAGGACATTCATTTCTGTTAGATAACTCTATATGATGCATAATACGTGAGCATAAGCATCAAATAAGATATATATCAGCTAATTTTGTCCCATGACAAGTTGCATAATTGATAGAATGACGAACTATCACTCATATATATATCCATACAAGTAAACAATTATTTATACACAAATGTCAACATTGTAACAATTATTTGTCAAAATAAATCAATTGAGAAAATGAAATCACAGTGTTTCAAAAAATCGAAACTACTGATAACATGTTATATTACAAAAATAAATTTCATCCAGTTATAAGTTATTTGAAGCATTGAGAATATGAAATGTTTCTTTTTTGAATGTTGAATAATCTGTTGTTTTTAATTAATATAGTTGTAAACCAAAAAATAACTATTGAAGAACAACTATTTAACTGAGGTGAAAGTATACATTTTAAAAACAAATGTAACTATATAACATGAATCTGTATATATATGTGCATATTATACAGAGAGCAAATAATGCCATATATTTTTTCTATCAGGAATACATTGTAAAATATGAGAAATTAGATGCTTCTAATTATTTGTAATAGTTCATCATTTTTACTAAAATAAGCAATATTAACAACATGGAAGATCAATGAAAAATATCTGTGAACTGAGTATTTGAACAGGGAAGAGATTTCATTTATGGCGAATGAGTTCTATTTAAGACACAACTATATGTGAACATTATATATAATGAGATAAGGCTATATAAAATGTGGTAAATTGATTTGTAATATTTAATTTTTACTGTTATTATCATCATGGTATTGGCTGAGGTGAATTTAACCAGACAATAGGTCCAGTATTACTGAAAATGATTTCTTTAACGCGACCATAAGCTGTTTCATAATCATCTGTTGTGATAATTGCTATGAAGAAAACAAAAAAATCATTAGCCAATTAACAAAGATACGTGTAAATATATATATATATATATATACATATATATATATATATATATATATATATATATTTATGAACATCATTAATGTAATGTTACACAATGAATATTCTGTTTACAGCCTTATCTAAATTCTACGGGGATGTTTCTTTGTATGTACTCATATAGTCAAATAATAATACCGGTTATCCAGAGCCTCATTATTATAATGAATTTAATTAACCCACCGAAATTATCTCCAGAACTTATGTGAAAACTGCTAGATCGATACATCAAAATGTTTTCATTGAAGATCGATAATATTTGACAAGTTTGAACAAGTATACTTCATCAAACTATGAATTACTGACTCTGTATCAATCTCACCTTATAGACTAGAACTAGAGAGTCCAACAACCAGATACTCTTTTAAATGCATTTTTTTCTGTTCTTAGATGGATTTAGTAAGTATCATATGATAAATACTACTGATCCAGTTCAAAATCAAAATCAATCCATTTATTTTATATTATTTAATTATAAATGATCAGTTCATTGAGATTTTTGTCACAATGAAACTATTATCTCATTGATTCGTTTAATTAAGATTTAAGATTTATCAGGACAAACTGATGAATTATAATATTTTAAAGGAACCAGTTTTACAACTTATTATTGTAAGTGTTACTTTAAAATATTTTACTTTTTGAAAATGATATGATATATTATTATTATTAAATGGTGGTTTCAATTTATTAAATTATCTGCATTGCGGGGTTGTGAAGATTGTTAAGTTACACATTTTTGAAACCATGAATCGATCAATGTTACACCACCATTAGAAACCTGGAAGCACTAGACGGCCGTTTCGTCCTGCTTTGGGACTCTTCAGCACTGCGTATCCACGACTCCTGCACCCCGCACGATTCGAAACCAGGACCTTCGGTATTGTGCGAGAACGCCTAACCATTGGACCACTGAGCCGGTATCTAACTGTGTTAATGTCTAACTTGAACAATTCACGGAGTTGCGCAACCTCATACACAGTCTTCGGTAATTACTGTCTACACCCAAACAGGTTGAACTTCACTGGTCACGTCTTCCCACTAGAACTCGGAGAAGATTCCTCACGAAGCTAGTCACTAGTGAGCACAAGTGATTGTTCAAGTTAGACATTAACACAGTTAGATACCGGCTCAGTGGTCCAATGGTTAGGCGTTCTTGCACAATACCGAAGGTCCTGGTTTCGAATCGTGCGGGGTGCAGGAGTCGTGGATACGCAGTGCTGAAGAGTCCCAAAGCAGGACGAAACGGCCGTCTAGTGCTTCCAGGTTTCTAAAGGTGGTGTAACATTGATCGATTAATGGTTTCAAAAATATTAAATTATCGTTTTAATTAAATAAATAAGGTTTATATTTATTGGAAACTAATAAAACATACCTGTCAGGAAAGAAGTAAAATGTTGTAATAAACGACTAAGTTTACTTTGTAGACCTTTAAATGCAGCCGATTCAATAGATGTGCATTTTTTCAGTTTAGGTTTCTTTTGTGATTTTTGTTCATTTGCAGACGGAGAACATCCGTCATCATTAACATCACCATCAACATGACCACGACTGTCAGTATCAACAGTCTTATCAGTTGGCAATGTTTCAGGTAGTACAAGAATAGCAATTGGTGGCAATCCAGCTGATTCTAAACGTTTCAATGCTGGTCCACCAACATCCAATAAACAATGCAATCCTAATTCGGACACTTCAAATACAGAATCTAAATGAGTACCATATAAATTGCCATTGTATTCACCAGCTTCTAAATATTTGTGAGCAGCTATATCAGCAACCATTATTTCTCGACTAATTACGAAATGATAATCACGACCTTCAACTTCATGTGGTCGACGTAATCGAGTTGTATCTTAAGAGTAAATAAGAAAAAAAAAGGCAATAATTTTTACAAATTGTAATATTCATAAAGGTATATTATGAATTGATGCAAAAAAAGAAGGGAGTCATACAGAAAAAAATTGCATTTAAAGTTGACAATATTTTTTGATTCAGTAAATCTGATTTCATTCTCTCAAAACTGCCGTGATTTTTTTGAAAGGAATAAACTTGAAATTTCAAGTTAGAATAGACACATTAAAAAGTTGTTATAAAGTAAGACGAAATAACTTTTCTCCATTCTTTTGATTTCTTAACGAAAATCATCTACAAAGTAAACTGATCTTCACAACACAACTCAACTACTAGATAATCAGGATTTTGAAACTTTTCACTTCAACTCTAACCTAATCATGAGTTGAAATTGAAATTCTCAATGAGACGGTCAGCTGTTTAGATTTTATTTTATTTCACAAGTCAATCAGGCATGTAAAGTATGACCGATGAACGTATTACCGAATATTTAGTCTAGAAAAAGTTATTTTATTTTTTTGGTTGTCTACAATTTATGGTGAATTATAAGATTTTAAAATAGCGGATAATTATAACTAATTATAACCAATAAGGATAATTTCTTTCAAGTACATTTCCCTCAGTTGATGTTTATTTTCACTCCAAATCACTTACTTACTTACTTACGCCAGTTACTCCCAATGGAGCAAAGGCCTCACACCAGTTTTCTCCAACCAACTCTGTACTGGGATTCCCTTTCCAGTTCTGTCTAATGTTTATTCATTCTTCTCATATCTTTCTCGATTTCTCGACGTAAAGTGTTCCTTGGCCTTCCTCTTTTCCTTTTTCCTTGAGGGTTCCATGTAAGGGCTTGTCTCGTGATGCAGTTCGGTGCTTTCCGCAATGTGTGTCGTGTTGCATCGGAGAATTTCGCTTTTTCCTTTATGTATGTTGAGACCTACTGCTGCAGAGGCTGCTGCTACACTGGTCGTCTTCTCTTGCACTTGTTGTTGCGTGTGCGATAGAAGAGCCAGGTCATCTGCGACGTCCAGATCGTCCATCTGCATCCTAGCTGTCCACTGAATACCGTGCTTCCCTCCAGCTCATTTAAAAAAGACATTAAATTCAATTACTTTTAAAAACAACTACTTACATGGAATTGCAGTTCCAAATAGATCTGGAAATTCACATAACAGTTCATCAGCAATTCTATCTTTCATATATCCCAAAATAACAACTGGTCTAGCAAAACTCAAATGAACTGGAGTCACAGATATATAAGATAATGGATGATGTTGATGATCACGATGATGATGACGACGACGACGACGAGAAGATTCGCTACGACCTAATAAAAGAATTAAAACCATCGTTGTTATATGAAATAAACAATATTTAAAATTACAGAAAAGATTAGTAATTCAAATCAATGATTCCTGTAGTTATTGCATAATCAACAGTTGATAATTTGAATAGGGCGCTGATCTTGTCATCCAGAAAGATGATGCAAAGTTATCAAAAGAACCTGCCAAGTCAGATAATACAACAGTACCCATAGCTAACAGGAGAACAATTCTAAAAAAGTTCTAGATGTACAGTAATAATATGGAAATATGACAGAAATTTAACATAACAGTCTACATTTGTTGGGGACGTTAGATCCCCAGAACTCACTTGATAAAGATCCTAATTTTGGACTTTGTGTTTTCGAGCATGAGCTGATCAGTCGACCTTGAGATTACTTTTCCAACTCCGAAAGTCCTTGATGGACGTATTATTTTAGTAAGCTATTTTGTGGCTCTCAGCAAGGACCTATCTATCTTGTTTATATAAGCTCGATTTATGTGCTTGTTGACCTCATATTTTCTGGATGCTTGTAGAATACACTTTTCTACGCCTTATGAAGACTTACTGATTTAGGTAGCCGGGCCGGGGACAAACGCATTATACTAGCCTATAGTGTCACGGTATCATTTGCCTTCGCCCGTTTAGCGAATAAGGTAAGCTCGTAATAGTTCAAGCATATCAAGTGACGAGCATATCATCATTCAAGGTGATGTGAATGAAGGGACACATATCTGTTTATGGCCCATTTAACTGATTTCTAGGTTAAATTCACTACATAGAACAAATACTCTAGATGAGAACTGAATCAAACACAAGATGTATCTACGCAATAGCCGAAAATAATTTTTGACAAATAAATTTACAGGCATTTTCGGTCACAAACTGATATAAGTTAAATAACTATTAGAAACCAGGAAGCTCTGAATCGTAGCTTTGTTCTAATTCAGTAGAATATTCAGAAAAACTGCCGAATAAATTTCTAAAAACCTCTCTTTCTAAAATCTCATGCTCACCCATGACTTGTGCGAGGTGGATTCTGAAACTATTACCGAAAATCCCAAACCAGTGAAGTTCAACCAAGTCGAGCGAGACAAATTTACTCACTAACCAGCAGTGAATGAATGTCATACTTAATCAAAAATTTATCCAAGCTGGAATACATAAATACACGGAAACGGATAGGGTTTAATCCAAATATAAAGCGTCTGTACTTATGATGTCTCTATCATCGATAATCTAGACTTTTAAGATTGAGGTGTTTGGGAAATTTAGGTATATATATATTTTTTTTCGGGCAGAGTTTTGGAGGTTTTGTGTTTTTACACATTTGAAATCATCAATCAATCATTGTTAGACCACCATTAGAAACCTGGAAGCACTAGACTGCCGTCTCATCAGCAGTGCGTATCCACGACTCCTGCACCTCGCAGGATTCGTACCCGGGACCTTCGGTACTGCGCGCGAACGCCTAACCATCGGACCACTGGGCCGGCATCCAATGGTGTTAATGTCTAACTATGATTGATCTACGGGTTTTTGCGCGACCTCATCCATTTGTCTTTTGTATATATATATATATCAAAATTCAATTCTAAACTTACTTTTATGTTTCAAATCATGTGACAAGTTACCAGTGATTGTATTGCTTTTTGTATAATAAGATTCTCTAGATTGACTAACAGTTTCCATTAAAGAATGCGTGGAATTTGATAATTTCAATGATTGTTTCTCATTTTTTCTCTTTCTTTCATACGCGTCGTTTGATTTAATTGATGGGGTATCAATAGATCGACTATGTCTACTAGCCATAAAATTTACATGACGTGTTCTTGTGCGTTCTTTTCTTTCTAAGCGTAAACGACTAGGAATTAGACCAATTGGACCGGTTGGTTCATTGATTTCTGAATCGAATCTCTGAGCCTATCGAGTTTATATAAATTTTTTATAAGAAAGAACAAGAAAAGAAGACAAGAGCTTAAAATCTAATATGACAATGGTATTGTCCGAAGTGATGTAATAAAGATTAAAAATAATTTGCATAAATTTTTTTCTAAATAATGTCAACTTGTATTATCTTATTGATTTGATTGAAAACGATCATCATCATGGTCAAATTATTGCGAATGATTGGAAACTGTTGAGTTGTTGCTCTGCTTTAATAATAATTTCAAAAGACAGGATCAATATCGAATAATGACCAATGAAATTTCAAAAAAAAAATTAATCGAAATATTATTCAACTATTAAAACAGACCTATAATTTGGACACTAATTTAAATTATCATCACAAAGCAATAATTTGTTAATCAGAGAAAATATAAACAAAATAATGACATGAGGGTATGAAGTAGAAAGTAAAAGAAGAAAACTTCAATGATAACAACATTTGACCATAGTAAATCACTAAGTTCAACATTTTTAACTTGTAAAACAGATGCCAAACTTAAGTTTCACATTAATATGACACACAAGTTATCTTACATAAATATATTTTAGTCATATACTTATTTTAAGTTGGAAATTGTGGTCCAGTGTTCTATTGCATTTTAAACTGAACAACTGAACAAGAGATATTAATTGAAATCAATCAAGAATTTATGATTCTGCTTGAGAAAACTTTATGATGTATCAAGATTATGGATGTATGCTGAAAAGATTGAAGAGAGATTTATTGTTAGTGATGAAAATAGCATAATAATTATCATTTTTCATGCATGAATAACTCGTTAATCAACGTATTGCTCTATACCAAACTGAGTAATTTTAATTACAATAGAAAAAGAGATTTATTCAAAGTTGTACATTATAGATGGAGCTTCAAATCAATTGAAAACATCCATCATAAATTACATACTTACATTTTAACACATCTAAATACACCGTAAGTATTTAACTGTAAGCTCATTCAAAATAGTGGTGAAACACATTTATTTGAATAATGGATATGGAATGAATACGAATAATGCGTTCAAAATCATTAACAGATAGAAAATTCAATTTCCCTCCGTTTTGAAGTGACTTCGGCTGACCTGATGGATGCATCCAGAAAGAAAGTTTCTCCCTTACGGCCACTGGATGTTTATCAAATAACAATTTTTAATTTTTCCAACCCCTCCTGTTTTTTTGATCTCAATTACGCGATTAGTTATCTTAACTATGATGTCTATGATATATCCAACATATATTTACACATTGATTTTAATTAAGTTTTTTCATACATTTTGTATTCTTGTTCTTCTCATTATTATGATTTTGATTACGTTTCAAGCGTTTATCCAAACTTCACAGATTGAAATATGTCAAATATTTCTTTATACTGATATTAATAATCATTATTTGTAGGCTGTATGGAGCTAATGAGAAACCGTGGATTCATTTTGTTCTGTCAGTCAGTCAGCGACAACGAGGAACTTCGTACATGCGTACATTCGTTCAAGTTGCTATACCACATTAGTACAGAGATGCAGTTGTCAATTCAAATCCCATATTAGTAGAGGTAGTAAAAGCATGAGCAGTAATCGGAGAGATTAGGGTTCGAAGATGTTATTCAAGGAGTATATAAATTTGAGGAGAGAAAGATTAAGGTCATGAGGAATTCGGATTAGAATTCTGGAGAACACAAAGAATGGATGCATCTGCGGCATTGCAAACGATGTTGCGTGACATCATTCAGGGTCTCTAACCATCAGTTGCTATTATCTCGCGGACTCCTACCAGGCAGCCGACACTTACCAACATGGCTCAGTCCTGTTGTCAGTGACTTCATGGATTTTTGCCATGTTTGGGTCTGGCTGCCCTCAGCTATCTTCCAACCTGCTCCTATAGGCCAAAAATAGCTCTTCGAGGTACTCGGTGGTTGGGTATTCGTAGCAAATGTCCAAATCATCTAAACTGATGAAGTTTCATCACTTCGTCAACTCATTTGCTATTCTTACCTGATACCCTTTGCTCAACAACAGCATTGTTTACTCGATTGGCACAGCTTGCACAAGCAATGCTTCGAAGACACCTATCTTCTACTATTACTAATCATGTAATAGGATGAAGAGGACTGCAGCGTAGAACACTCGTCCTTTGGTTAGCAAACGGATATCTTGACTACGCCATAAGTGACGTAAGTTGGCAAAAGCCAATCGAACCTTCAGTATCAGTGCTGAGATTTCGTCACACACCAGGTCATAAGCACTGATGAAACTCCCGAGATAAGTGAAGCGGTCGGTACGTTCAACTACTTCACTTCTTATCATTAGTTCGAGAACCGATGCAAGCCAATCCTGAAATAAAATTTTGCATTTTGAGGGAGAGAATCGCATTAAGAACATTCTTGCATTGTTGCTTAAGGTAGTTGGAAGACCCTGAATTCAGTCAGCGTCTTCACCAAGCAGAACTATGCCTATCGGCACACTCCAAGTAGACAAGTGAATCTCCTGGTAAAAGTTCAACCGTCATATCTGAATGCACGCCAATAGCAAAGCGGAATAGGGATGAAGAAAATCTACAACGCTGACGAACACCACTTGAAGTAATCGGTTACGACGGCAGTTCATCTTAAGCTATTATTCAACCAGTAGTGTTCAAGTAGGAAGTCTGCAAAAGGTCATTGTACTTCTCTGGTAAACTTTTCAACGGCAAACACTGTCATAGAACCTAACGGTAAACAGAGTCAAATGCCGCTTTAATGTCAAGGAAGACAACTGTTATTGGCCGCTTGAATGTGTGTTTATTATTCTAGGACCTGATGAAGAGTGAATATATGGTCTAAACATCCACGTCCATGTCTGAAACCAGCCTGGTTTTCTTGAGTTTGCTCTTCACCATTTCTACACACACTCCTTTATAGTCAGCAATACAACTTTACTCTTGGACCTTTCAGTATTATCGTCCTCCAATCGACCTGCCTGGCATGGTAGGACCTACAAGAACATATGTTCCATCCAATATAGTTCGGCTCGGTCATCACGGTCGACAAGCCCGACTGTCACGTCCAGGTAGCAGATTCGGTCAGGCATTTTGTTCTCTAAATCTTGTCAGTCTTACTCTATTTAAGCGTAATCATTCGGTAAGTTGTTAAACAGTTTCATCTATATTAGACGCGGCAAATTTTACGTCCAGTTAAGCGTATTTGCTCTTTATAATAAAAAAAACATAAAATCAAAATAACACTAATGAACTACGTGATTCAAATAAACCAAGAAAAAACCTGCACTTACTTGCCACCATTCAGGATCAATTGTATTAATAACATACACTAAATCACCTGACCTTAAAGTGAATACTTTTTTAGGTATAGTTTGTTGATGATTCTCTTTCATTGGATCATAATCAACTTGACATCGTAATAATAATACATTAGGATATTCATTCAATTCATTCGGTTCATTCTCTTCAACTTTTTCCTTATTCGTTGATTGACATTTTTGCTGCTGCTGTTGTTGTTGTTGTTGTTGTTGTTGTTGTTGACGATGGTGTTTGTCTAAATGCTCAGCGTTCTTTTGTTTCAGCTTATCTTTATTTATTTCAGTTTGTTTTTTTATTTGATCGCTGGTAACTGGTGATTCTTTATGTTTATTGTCTTTTCCTATTCCATTGGCATTTTTAGTTTTGAATGAATGTAAGCATTTGTTAGATAATTTATGACCAACTGCTTTAAGTTGACGACAGAAATGTTGTTCAAATTCAGCATATTCTAATGTAGAAATTTTTTAAGAATATATATATATATATATCATCATAGAATTATTAACGGATGTTATATAAAATATTATTCATAAGTTTAAAATATATTGAAATATTAATAGTTTAATAATTGTCTAGTAATAATCAACGGAAATTCAGAAAGCTATAGTAATAATAATAGAATGTTAAAACAGATAATCTCAAAAGGTTATCCACAAAAATCTGAAATACTCTTTTTAGAAATTATTGAATTACAGTATTAGCTGAAACATGACTATTAATCTTTTGGAGTTTATTTCATTCGATACGAAATTTTCCTTAAAAAATATATACTACTTAGTAAATAATAAGGGTACAATTTTTCAAGTTGTCTATTACCAGTGACATTTGATTCGTTTTCAATAAAATAGTCGATCCGGAATCAAATGAGAAAAAGCAGTAAGCAACTGAGTTATATTGTATAGTTCCCTGATACATAACTAACTACCAGTTCTCAATTATGATCTCAATTCAATTATTTAAAGCTATCATTCCCAACTATATAATATTTATTCAACAAAGTAGAACTTTATGGTAGCTAACTATTGAAAGCCTCGACAAATTTACCAATGATTAAATTAAGTACACATTTATACAAAGTGTAATCGATTTTACGGATTTCGGCATGATTAAACATGAACCAAATATCAATCGGTTTTTAGTAATAACCAAAAAAACACTTATTATACAGTAATAAAAAAAGGAATAAGGAAATGTACCATAGAAGCAATGGCTGCATTGATTAAGAACTCTGTTCCTGTGGACATCCATCATCAATGATTTCATACAAAAGATATTCCTTGAGGACAAGCATGTAACTTTGTACTTGGCAAATGAGCTATCGCTATCATTATTATTATTATCTATATTACTGTCATTATAATTATTAGTAGTATCCGATATTGGATAAATATTAAGCAACTTAAAAAACAATCTGTGTCCTTATTCAATCTAGTAGATGTAAGAGGTAATACAACAAAGGATACCCATTAAGTTCCGACTAGATCTAAACTGATTGCACTTTTCAGCTTCTCATTTATACTCTAACCAAGTAGCTAGCTACTAGTTACAATTTAAGATCTGTTAAATCAGAACAATAAGATTTTAATCATCTGATACGTATATATAATAAGGGTTCCCTCTCAATATTATATTAAAATGATAGCATTAATGTTACCAATTCAGAATGAACATAGTCTGCCTTAATAACTAGTTTGGTTTCGAACTAACACAAACCAGAAAAGCCTAGCAAATAATGAAGCATTAAATTACTGTTCCATGCTCATTCGAAACTCATCAGTTAGTATTCATTCACTTGTGCTACTTATTTTCAATAGTCTTCTGATATAAAATTTCATTGAATTAAACAACTTTTCATTCGCCACATATGAATTGTATTAATTTAGTCAATTCGTGACATGAAATTTCAAGTCATAGCAAAAAACAAAAAGAAAAGAAGATACTCTTAACTTGATAGTAATATCCCACTCTATTGACAAATTAAAAAATTGAATACATTTTTGCCTACATATCTGCCTGATAAGTTCGTCACTAGGTACGCTTGAAGCTATTACGAGTTCACCTTAGTGGATAAACGCGAACGAGACAATTACCAGTGTCCACGTAGGCTACCTTGAATCCCAAGCTGTAAACAGAAGGCTTGGTAAGCGTAGAAAGTATATTCTACAAACACCCAGCAATCACACAATACAACCAAGCACACAACTCTTGTTTATTTATACATCACAGAAACGTCCTTGGGACAGTTACGAAAATAGCACATTAAAATACACAGCAGTCAATCACAGTCATGGATTTTCCTGGTGCGAAATAAAATCTCACGGTCAACTGATCAGCCTATGCTCGCAAACGTGAAATCCAAAAAAAACTCTTGAAACCATGAACCGGTCAATGTTTAGACCACCATTAGAAACCTGGAAGCACTGGACGGTCGTTTCGTCCTGGTATGGGACTCCTCAGCAGTGCGCATCCACGACTCCTGCACCCCGCACGATTCGAAACCAGGACCTTCGGTATTGTGCGCGAACGCCCTAACCGATAGACCACTGAGCCGGCATCTAACGGCGTTAATGTCTAACTTGATCATATTCACGGAGTTGCGCAACCTCATACACAGTCTTCGGTAATTACTGTCTACACCCAAACAGGCTGAACTTCACTGGTCACGTCTTCGCACTAGAACTCGGAGAAGATTCCTCACGAAGCTAGTCACTAGTGAGTAATGCAAATCCAAAATAAGACTTTTAACAAGCGAGTTTTGGGGATCTAACATCCCTAACAGTCTTCTGATATAAAATTTCATTGAATTAAACAACTTTTCATTCGCCATATATGAATTGTATTGATTTAGTCAATTCGTGACATGAAATTTCAAGTCATAGCAAAAAATAAAAAAAAAAGAAGATACTCTTAACTTGATAGTAATATTCCACTCTATTGACAAATTAAAAAAATTGAATACATTTTTGCCCATCAATCGAATCCTTAGATAATTCAGGGTTTTTGTTATTTTTTGATTAATTCTCGTTGATGTATATATGTGTGATAAAAAAAAGCGAAAACATAATCTCCCTGAAGAATTTTAGTGGGAAATTATTGATTTGATTAATATTTCTTTGCCTTGTGAAAATTTACATTTTTACAAACCGAATGAATGACTGATGCGAAGAGATGGTTATGAATGTTAAAAACGAATAAAAAAATATTTCTCCCATCTGTTCTTATCAGTATGAATGTTGGCAAACGAATTATTTTTTTAGTTCATATCAGTAGTCAAATTGTCAGTAGTATCATCAACAAAAAGAGTTATTGGTAATGACATCATGCTAATTTTATGCATAAATAGTTTTTGGAAGAAAGTGACTTGAAAACGAAAATGAATTAATTAAACAATCCTGAACAAAATTATAATATTCAATATGAAGAAACTACAGCCCATTATGGTATGTGGATATGGAATAAAATGATTCAAAAAAGAAACGACTCTTTTCTTGTCATGAATGTGTATATTTACGGTAGCTAGTTTTCAATTTCACAAACGTATCTTGTGAAAAAGTGCTTTGATTCGAAAGTTAACTGAACAGAATGACTTACCAGCATCCAAGAATCCTATGTGACGTAGTATCTTAAATGTAAGAGACACTTGACATTACTTTGTCTCCATGATTTTATGTAGTCTATTATAACAAAGTAATATTAACTACTAATGAATTTCTTGGTCAGTTAGGTCAATCGTTAATCTAGCGAATAAATTCAACTAACCTAGAGAAGATGTAAGAGGCAACTGGAAGTTTCATTAAAATGTCACTAAATAATAATTAATATAGTAATGCTTAGTTATTCGAGTTTATTAAATTACATCAACCAACTTTACAGTGTAACCACTTGGCTAAGGGAGATTTTCTAGAGATCACTTGTCATTGACCAATGATTATTATTACTGAACAGTTTCTTCAACCATGCTTAGCAAATCGCAAAATGTAACTCATTTACTAAGTGCTCTTTCATATCTTTCAAACAACTATCTGTTTACTGATGTATGATTATTTTAAGAAATCCTATGAAAATAATATTTTGCATAAACTAAACAGATTAATTTGAATGTGCCTGATAAAACAGCAATGAGATACAATGATTTCACGACATTGTATTAATAACACTTTCAACAAATTGTTTAAATTTGTGGCAGTAATTAATTTATCGAGTGAAAAGTCATAAGACATAGCGATTTGAATGAACTCTGCTTTAAAAAGTTTAGAGTAGCCAAACTTGCATTGTTATACAACATAAACTAACCTTCAGGACTATAGACTAGTAGAAGATCAACACGATCACGAGCATCTCGTAAAGCTGCGGCAGCTTTCTCATGCCCATACTTAGCTACGTCTACACCGTTAACCTGTGGTAAATATGAAAGAAACAAAATAATAAATCACTTCTGAGAATAATCAATCATAATCATAACGGTTAATATCATTTTACTCAGTATGTGCTTGGTTTCTGTGCAAAATGTCCAATATTACAATAAATTTCAGCTTTATGTGCATTTAACTGCTCAATAATGAAAAGTGTTTGAAAACGCTCTAAACAATGATAATCTGTCATTCATATTCATCCCCAAGTATTAACGATTGTTTTTGCTTCATTAGAATCTCTCTTCATCCTGTAGAATTTTCGATAAATGAATTCTTCAGTAATCCCTATTTGTTTTGTCCAGAAGATAAGCGAAAAGGAAATATACCAACCATAATGCCGATTCTTCAAAACATTTTTCTTTTATAGTGATATGCTTGTCACTTGATATGTTTGAAACTATTACGAGTTAACCTTAGTCGATAAACGAGAACGAGAAAATGAACCAGTGACACTTTGTGCTACTCTGATCCGTTGCTCCAAAGGAACTAACGAAGAAGTCTTGATATAGTGTAGAAAGTGTATTCTACAAACACCCAGCAAGCACAATGATTTCAAGCATACAAATCGCGTTTGTTTATACATCATAGAAACGTCCTTAGGAGATTCACAAAAATAGCACACTAAAATAACACGGCGACCATTCACAGCTAAGGATTTTTCTAGTGGGAAATGTGATCTCAAGGTCAGCTGATCAGCCCATGAATAAAATCCAAAATTAAGACATTTATCAAGCGAGTTCTGGGGATCTAACGTCCCAACATATAGTTTATTTCTATTTTTTATAGTTTGTAAGCATTTTACGTAGGCACATGATTACAAGCGCTCATGATATATGATTAATCAACCACAGTGAATATAGAACACAGCATGAACACTTATTTTTCCATAGTTCTTAATTACTTGACATCATTACCTATGTCTTTTAAATTCCGACTGACGACCGTCTATGTTTACTACCAGTCTCATGCTCGGATAAGGGAGGAGGGTTGGGCATGCGATTTGTAACTCATGCCATGGAAAATAAACAATTTAACGTCTTTCTTTCATTTCTTTTCCTTTTTTATGCTCATCAAACGAAGAATTATTCATCATACTTCTGATTTCATCCTAATTTTCTTCAACCTGTAGATCATAATCCAAGCTGCTTATGACACATGAATTTTCTAAACACCATTATCTAGTCCACTTCTAATTTTTTTAAAAGACTATTTACTATCTCTATTAAATGTCTATAAGTGTGGGGGTATAGTAAATTATATTGGCGAGAATGCAGATTATTACATTATCTTGTTTCCCTTCATCAGAAATACACTAGGTTTATCTAACCGCAATACTATGAATGCAGTAGGACAAACTAAATGTAACTGTTAAGCAGTATAAATTTTACAGATGATATGACAAAAATTAATCAAATTCCTTTTTTTTCCGATCAACAACTGTTCAATTTAGTCAAATAGTTCAATAAAAAAAAATTATTCTACTTATGACAACCAACAAAAAACAAACACTCAACCGTGTGGAAATGACAAGAAACGGAAGATAAGTTTCTTCAAGTTCTTATATGAAAAAAAATACTATTTTGCATTTATCAATAGTCAGTTTTTTGTTTTACTGTCTATAGTGCTTCAGTTTACATTTATTGTCAAAAAAAGATTTTATTTTAGAAAGTTAAAATTTATTCAATGAATGTTATTTTAAATCAAAGGAAATTTATCATTTCATGTCAAGACTAATTTAATCATGTAATATGATGAGTAAAGATAGTAAGAAACTTTAAGAACCAAATATTTCTATTTTGTTTCATTTTAAACTATTCGTTAGTAAAATGTATTTGTAATATTTTAGACAGCCATTGTTCTGTTAGAAAATCAAACAAATTTAACAAAGTCTGTATTACTATAGTATTTTAATAATTAAGATTCAAAGGCATCGTACAAAAATCGGTCGGCAGATCAGTTCACTAACAGAGACTAGACAATATGATACTACTGTCTAGGATTAAACAAATAAGAAACGCAAAAAAGTCACTAAAAATATGGGCATTTCTCCTCACTTTTGTTGAATAAGACAGTGTTTCAGTAGAATTTATAACATACGTTTCATCCTATTTGGCGATCGCCAGTTAGATGCACCTGCAATTCAAGGTTAATGTTCAGTAAATGATTCGAAATGAGTAGCTTTTTTTAAAGGCTCAAAGCCTCCCCCATTTTGTCTAGATACTACTCTTCAAAATACTTGGAACATGATGGCTAAATCGCGAAAATCCATTCAGGATGCGCGTATGACAACAAAGACTGATCAGTAGTAAGTCAGTATGATATGTTCATCAATCGATATGCTCGAAACTATTACGAATATTCAACAAGCACCCAGAAAATACGAGGACGACAAGCAAACAAATCGAACTTACCTCTACATAGTAGAAACGTCTTTGAGAGAGCCACAAAATAGCCTGCTAAAATAATCTATCAACCAATGACAGTCAAGGATTTTCCGGGTGGGAAATATAAGCTGAAGGCAAATAAGCAACTTGTGCACGAAAACATAAACAATCCAAAATTAGGACCTTTTGCAAATGAGTTCTGGGGATCTAACGTCCCTGACACAAAAACACGAACAACAGGATAATTGCAAACGATTTCAAACTGATTTAGAATGAAGGCAGTCGGAATTACACCGGACCTGTCTATATATCTATGACATCACCAACATGTATGAACAGAGTTAGAGGTATATCGTACATCAGTATTTGAAAACTGTCTGTTTCATAGCTCAGCAACTGAATAAAGTGAACTTAATCCTCATTTTGTTTATTTAACAATTTCTTTCTATGAATAATTATTCGATTTCGATTTAGCACATCTAAAGTTACCAGGTGGTAAACTTCAAAATGATAATTCTGTTAACTATTAAAAAACAGCCCTAATCCTGGTTACAAACAATCTGCATTTCACAATAGATTCCTTTCTAAGATACAATTTTGTAACAGTTTTAAGGTTAGTAATATACAGGATAAAGTAGAAACATGTTTTCTAAAGTAACCCTTAATGCATGGGTATTTTTCTTCTTCAGCAAACAAATAAGTAGTATGATGAAAAATTTCTCTTCAAATTATTGCATTCTTTTCAACAATTAAATTTATCAGATTTACGCAAATTGTAATTTAGATGTGAATAAAACCTTACTTAGAGAATAAATATTTCTTCCCATTATATACCTTAACAACGATGTTGAGATTTTTATTGATAAAAACTAAATTACGGATCACATAAAAGAAACGTAAATTAATCATGAAACTTAAGATTATAATAATAATAATAAACCACACTGAATGAATGATGAGACAATTTGCTCTGTAATTGACAATTTCTATGATAATGATCAATATAAGGAAAGAATTATTCAGAAATAAATATGTAGGCTAAAATCGATTTTATGCCCAAATTAAAGTATCAATAGAAAATAGAGATTCTTAATGTTGATGAAGATGCTTATAAATTTTCTGATTTATATATCCAACAAAACTAAGTTCAGTGAGGAAGGTGAAACAGGAAACCTAATAAAAATGGAGAGAACTAGAGAGTATAAGTTTTTATTAGTCTTGGGATGGCTTAGAAGTCAAAGTACTTGGTTTTGAACCAGTAGGTTACAAGTTCGAAAACCTATCTGTCTAACTGGATTCGGATAGAATAAATTATCATACTCTGTAACGTAAAGTATGGCTACATGTGACATATATGCGATTCAATAAAATAAACGACAATAACGAACTTAATAATAATTGAATCGACAACAGTAATGCAGACTTAGTGATTAGTGCCCCTTTACAATAACTCGATAGATGCTGTACAACTTCACTAGATATTATTACTAGACTGACGCTTAAAAATATGAAAGCGAAAACACCAAGTGTGAAAATCGGTGAGATTATTAACACAGGGGTGTAGGAAACATCCAACTGATGAGCAGCAAATAGAAGGAAACGCGTATTCTAAACTTTCCTGTTTATAAATACCAAAACGTTGTCTGAAAACACTTGTGTATATTACGTAATCTTTTATCATGAAGGTTGATTCAACAGATATTCTAATACGTATGAATTGACGACCTCTTTATGTCAAAAGTCTTCAAAACAAAACACAGTTACATTCATTAGGTTGATTAATATGATAAAACGAAAACAAATTTTGTTTATTCCATTTGTATTGGATGCTTGAATCTCCGTATTGATGTTTACGACTGTGATCGATCACTATATTTTGGCATATCTGCATTATGTGCTGATTGCCTCGATATTACCACTAAGTCACAAGCATGATAAGCAAATAAGGATGATGACTAGCAGTGGAATCCAGGTCGCGCGTTACATTTTATTTGGGACTCGTGGGCTGCATTTACCTACATCCCAGAGCTGATGTCTACTCCAAAACCAGAACCCAGTATCGATTTTTCAAATGCTGTCGCGTTATCCACTTAGCTAATAGGTCCAGATAGATCGATCAATGGCACTCTCAAACATCAATGAGAAAGTTCAAACAACCAATACTAATGAATTAAACTTCACCTAATCGCACAAACAAGTGGCTATTAGGACTCAGTAGCTAAGTGTACAGAAATGTCGATTGAAGTGAATGGTACTGGGTTCTTGTCTTGGAGTGGACATCAGCTCTGGGATGCAGGTACGAGTCCCAAATATGATGGAACGCGAGTCCTGGACTCCACTACCACAAGTTTTGTTTATGTTAAGGTAATTACAAATAAATAAATGACTCATAATTACACGAATAAAAACAAGTAAATTAATACATGCAAACCAAAACGATGAGGGGGAGAAATAAATAAACACAAAACTTTAGAATAAAAAAGTGTATTAAAGCTTTTCCCGTTCTTCGATCTTATTACTATATCAGGTGAAACAAACAAAAATATCGATTTTTGTTCTAAACAAAAACATGACATTGAAATCAAAATTAATGGTAAACATTTGTATTCAACAGTAAAGCATTTCATATTTGTTATTTTTTCAAAAAATAGACACACCCAAGAAAATAAATAAGCTGATATCGTCCGAGTTTACTATATGTGTGATCGAAAATTTTCTAAAAAAAGATAGTGGTCACTTTGAACAATGATTAACTTAATGGTTTTGTAGTCTGAATCAAGAACTGAACTTACATTGACACGGAAAATCATGAATGACAAGACAGATGTTTTAATTGAGTATGTGAACATTTCCGACCTCGCCGAAGAAAGAACACAAAACATTCAGTTCTCGTGGCATGGCAGTGACCTTGAAATCACTTAGCCGGCATTCAAAGGTCTATTACTAAATCACCCAATGATTCCATTGGTTAATTTGATTCACTAGATGTTGATTATCTCTGATGTGTGTATTTATCCAATAACAGTTTACGACCCCTGTTAACCTTCCTACGACATCAAATTCACGACTTTAAGGTTTGATGAAAACCAAGTCATGCCACTGAATTAACTTATTGGATGGTGAGAAGGAATTTTCATCGATTACCTGTGTAATACGGAATTAAAATTGTCCCTGTCAACAGAATTATATCGTTAGACAGGTTATATAATAAGTAAAATAAATAGAAAGAAAGTTTAATTTAAGCCCTCAAATACACAAGTTCCTGCATTCTTATTATTTTGTTAACCAATTAAATAACATCAACAAAATTAATTTTTCTTCAAAATACAATAAATTTATTTTATATTACATCTGAATTTACCAGAGTAAAGTTAAGTTGATTATGATTGCATGTGAAATATCCAAATTACGTCATTTCTAAGGATTATTAGAATAAAATGATAAAGTAACTTGATGGAAAGTATGAAAATGTCTAGAGATCTTAAAATTTGTTATGTTGATTAGTATACAGACTTGTTCCCATTGCAGATTTAAAGTGATTAAACCCATAATCCATTTGGGTTTTCTAAACGTTAAACATGTATTGTTACATTTCTAACTGAAAAAATTCACAATCGAATGATCACTGCAGAATAACCTAGGTATGAGCACAACATAGAACATCATTTCCTCCTGGTTATGGAAACGCCTTGCTATCGAGTATTAAATAATATGAGTGTAAAATTTTCTCTAGATCACCTACAAATGTTTAACATAAAACAGATTATTTGTATGGAAATATGATAATAGTTTTGCTCGTCTGTATATTTACTCTTCTGTGTTGTATCAACAGAAGTTGTACGATTTGTAATTAGTTTTTCACATGAGATGTATGAATATAATTTTTACTGAATATAATCCGTTTTTGTATTTTTAGTACGCTACAAGATTTATAAATGTGGATTATTCTGTTTCAACTTAGGCAGACTGAATATATTTAGCATGCTAAGAAACTTCTGAGTACTCATTCTAATATAATGCAATCGCACTGGTACGCAATAATGAAATGGCCGATTATTTCTGTTAAGAATGTTAGATCCCCAGAACTCACTTAGAAAGGTTCTAATTTTGTAATTTATTCTGAAATTTTGAATTTCAATGTTTTCGCGTCAGTTGACCCGCAGTTTACATTACCCACTCGAAAAATCCCTAACTGTCATTGGTTGATGGATCGTTTAAGTACGTTATTTTGTGGCTCTCACCAAGGGCGTTTCTATTATGGTATAAATAAGCTTTATTTGTGTGTTTAGACACCTCGCATTTTCTGTGTGCTTGTAGAATGCATTCTCTACGCCTTATCAAGACTTCTTGATCTAGTTAGCAGGGTCTGGGACAATGGATCAGGATAGCCTATCGTGTCACTGAGTCATTGATCTTCGTCCTGTTTACCGAGTAAGCTGAACTCGTAATAGTTTCAAGCATATCAGTTGGCGAGTATATCAATTTTACTTCGATTTTCAAAATTTCTCTGAATGATTTGAGTCTATGAATATTTATCTATTCTTCTCTGGCTTAATTTGAATAGTTTACTTTGGTTTCAGCTGTTCTAAAAAAAAAATACTAACATACACAAATGAAAATATAGTTTATAGAGAAGCATTGTGTCAATCATGATAAAATTTTTAAATGGTTGAGTTTTGAAAAAAACAAAATTATAAATGTTCAAATAATAAGATTTATATTAAAAAAAAATATCGTTCAACCATGAGTAAATATTTTATAATTGAAAATTCCATTGAATTAGACAATTCAATTATGCATCACATTTATTATGTTCTTTGAATGAAATACATACAAATTTATTCAAATGTGTATTTTTCTTGTGTTATTTATTATAAGACTTACTGTCAATAATCGATCTCCAACTAAGATTCGTTTTGATAGACCAGCCGGTTTATCAGGTTGTACATGAGAAATAAACGTTGCTTCTGAGCCATCACCACCAACAATATTTAAACCAAGACTTCGTCCACTGTTTGATGAACAACCACGTTGAACAGTATCATAATTATCTGTTTGATTTCGATTCATAGAAGTAACTCGTTTACGACCACTTCGATACAATGTGACTAGACGAGCATTTGGCCATTCATTAAGTAAGCTGGATACTGAAGCAGCAGCAACATAATCAACTAAATGATTACCGAAAAAAATAGAACAAGAAGGAATGTGTAATGAAAACAGTGATTATGAAATAGTATAGTAGCTTGCGAGAAAAAGATGTTATGACTAATGATTCCAGAAAAAAACAGATATTTCTTTCCAAATCACAAATATAGATATGAACAATTCATGTATTTATAAGCCCATATGTAGTTGTCTGTTGTAAAATAAATTTCTAAATAAAATGTTAGAATTCTTTGACTTTGTGGTCACAAATAAACATTCGTAGAAAAAATTTTTGAATTCCTAATTTATTGATACTTATTAAAAATTAGTAAATATAAACCATAAGATTATCTTGGTCCCCTTCATAGAACTGTAAAATGTTGAAATCGATGATATATCGGTTGAACGATAACTAAAATTTTATGATATCGAAAAGCTCATTCGTCAACAGTACAGTAGTGACTAAATATCAATGAGAATTGTGTTCTCCATCTTGATACTAACCTAAAACAATCGACTTAATAGTAAGTATTAACTGAAGAATCAAATATACAACCCGATTTTCGATTACTTAAAATCTATTGAAATTAAAAGCTTAGTGCTCAAAATTTAAACTGAGTTATCTAGGATTCTATCAAAGTGGCAAAATACCATTCTATTTCTAAGTTCAAAGGTAAAGAAATATCTCAAACTAACAACAAACATACACTGGTTTTACTTGTAAAATATTTCTGATTAGCCTATTGCACAAATATTTAGTCAAATGAAACGGTGAACATTTCTAAGTGAAAATTCACATCAAAATCATAAATTAAGTTACTTAAATAAACTAACTCACTCACAAAATTTATAAATGACAAAATACAAATTCAAAATGATGGACACATAATCAAACGATAACATTGAATTGAATAAGAAATCAAAATGAAATAATCATCAATACCATATTTTTACTTACTTATACCAACCATTTTATTTTCCAGTAGTTCTTGACCAGTTGATGCAAAGCATGGATTATTTGTTGTTATGACTGTTTGTGATTTGGGACACTTTTCATTTGATAAATCTGGTGAAGAGTGATATCGTTCATTAGTTTTTACTGAGGATGAATGAGCTTTCTTCGTTGTCCCAGTTCGATGACGACGATGATGAGTATGGTCTTGATCGTTAGAATTTAAATTACGATTTGTTTTTGATTTTGAAGGAACCGATAATGGTTGCTGATGTCCAGTTGGATCTTCTTGTTGATTTACATCAAACTCTACTGGATGACCGGATGATGATTCAGCATGGCAAGAATCAGATACAGATGGTTCCGAAATGGAAGATGCACGAGAGGAAACAGCAGAAGGAGAAACAGAAGCTGATCTGTGAATTGACGATAATGAACCTGATGATGAACATGATTTAGTATAGCATATAGGTGAAACATTTTTACTATCATAAGCGTTTCGATGATTGAAATCATCATTGCAAACAATAACATCTTGATCATTGAGTTCACTTAATTCAGTTTTCAGTCCTATCAACAATAAAAATAGAAACAAGTAGAGGAGTAACAATGAAGAAATCAATTTAAAACTTAATCATTTGATATCATGAAATTCTGTAGAGAAATAGGAGAGCAATAGTGAATTACAAGATCATCACATTCATAGTAAAATTTGATTGATACTTTATGAAACATTTAAAATATAACTAAATAAATAAATTATATCAAACGTATTTGATTTTACAAGATAAAAAACCCTACTTATGTATCGTTCATTTAATCCTAAACCATTTACTTCCAAATTGTTTTACATAATTTTTTTATTTTTCACATAGCTTAGAACAGTAGCACGAAATTCCATATCTCTTCGCAATTAAAAATTGAATCAGTTCTATTCTTCTTAGAATAATAAGGCAGTTTCGAAAAAATTTCTGTTTTAAGTACAAAATTTCAGCATCATTCTTTGATATTTTGTTGAAAGGAAGAAGATAATCCCTGATTTCGATTAATTAAATAACGCGAACGTTGAAGTGTTGAACACCATGATCCATTGTTTGCTATTTCATTTAAATAAACTGAAAGGCACAGATCAACTGACAACTATGACACTGAAGATAAACTATTAAACGTTTCGACTTCGTATACTCAATATATAGGTTCAACTTGATATCATAAACAAAACCGAATGTGTTATCTCGTAAAATAAATGTGTTTCTGCAAACATTTTTTTCACAGAAATAACATTATTATTGAAGTGGGTAATGTCACGATAATCATTGATGGAATAATACATAGTTATTATTTGAAATCATGAATCTATCAATGTTAGACCACCATTAGAAACCTAGAAGAACTCGACGGCCTTTTCGTGCTGGTATGGGACTAATCAGCAGTGCAAATCTACGACTTTGTACCTCGCAGGATTCGAACCTAGGACCTTCGGTCGTGCACGCGAAAGCCTAACCTCTGGACCACTAAGCCGTTATCTAACGGTGCAGGAGTTGCGAATGCGCCTTGTTGATGAGTCCCATATGAGGACGAAACGTTCGTCCAGTGCTCCCAGCTTTCTAATGGTGGTCTAACATTGATCGATTCATGATTTCAAATATGTAACTAAACAATCTTCACAACCCCGTAATACATGGTTAATGATACCATCTCAGATTATTAACTTGGCAAAAATCCCATTCTAATAAAATTCAAACGCTCCTGTTATAAATTGTATTTGACAAAAATGTCTGTTATTTTTTACTGTTAAATTTCAAGCATCATCTTAAGCTAACAACACATATAAACTTATACATATTATGCAATATGTACATAGGTTTCAGATTACACTCATATACAAATTAATTTTTTAATTTTAAAAAATTAATTGATTATCCTAAAGATATCCAAATGGAAGAGTAACATTCTGGTGAAAAAGTAACAAACTTTTAAGCATCAATCTAACATAATGTTATTTAGTTATAATTTAACAAGTTAACACATATTATTTTCTATTAAAATAGAAAAAGCTGGAAAAAGTAAAGAATAAAATAAAATAAGATAAAATAAACATAATTAAATTTAGTTATGTTTTATTGAGTAAAGGAAATGTAGAATAAAACAATTGGGTGTAACTAAAACTTATGCCAAGCATACATATCAATAAATGAATACACTTGAAAAGTTGTGAGAAATTAATGTACATATATATTTACAGATGAAACAAATCAAGTGATATATATTCTATTTTCATTAAACCTAATGAAATATTTATTTTTTGAAATAACTCTATTGACGAGATTGAATGAAACAGTTAGATATTTTTTAACATTTTCTGACCATTTACTATATGAGTTATAGCTTTTTTTAAAGAGATGTTAGTTGAACTCATTATCTTTTCATGTAAGAAAACCATTGAACATCAATAATGCCTGGAGATTTTAGTAGTATTTGGGTGGTTTTGTTGATAACATTGTTAGAACATATAGGTTAGCTTACTATGATTCTATGAACGCAGGCCTTTTGCAAAAATGGAGACACCTTTTAATCAATAAATTATCAGTACAATCTGTTGTGAATTCAACTGAATGGATGTAATTACAAATGTGATGAAAATATAAACAAAATATTCGAGATCGTTTGCCACACAAGAAAATTGTAAAATATTATTTTGAAATATAATTTTATTGTAGTTCTTTTTGCCGGTAAATAAAAATAATTACTAGTTGATATGAATGATTTTACTCACGTAAATCTGCTTTAAATAATGTCGTTTTTTTTTGAAAACTTTATGTCTGTAAGTTTATGATATTGCTAAAAAACAATTTTGATCTCACTGACTAGTTTTATAGTTTGTTGAATATTTTTAACTAAAACTTTTTATGTAAATGAATTGCATGAAACAGCAATATATTTGAGTGTGATCAATTAATTGATTAAGAGATAGTTACCTACTTCGATTAAAGAGAATGGCTCAGTAGCCTTGTTTCTGTCAGCGATACATAATCATAGTAATTATGCTGCTGTTCTTAAGTTCAGAAGAAAATGGCATATACATGAGTTCTTATTATTTAAACTAATGACCTTTAGTTTTGAAAACTGCAATTTCATAATATTGTTTTAAAAACTGAAAAATTGATAAAAATTTTACTGTGTGCTTCTTCAGATAACAATTGAAAATTACTTCGTTCAGAGCAAAATAGATTTTCCGTGAACCCACTCAGATGACTACACAAACAAACCATCCAGCCTAGAGAGCGAAATCTCACCAAAACCATCTAGTTAAGCGAATATCTTCTCCAACATTGTGGTGGTGTTTCGTCCTCTGAGCTGGATGTGTGAAGCTTTCGTTGTTCTTCTGAACAACATTATCAGCACAAACTTCCGATAGAAGTGAAGTATTCTTCACCATTTCAAGAACACATTTTAAAAGTTAACCGGCATCAAAGAATAAAAGACAACTATAATTGTTCTCTATTAATCCAATTACTTAAATAATAAATATTACTAATCTTCTACTTCATAGATTTATACTACTTAATTTCCATTACATTTTAGACAGTTAATTTCTGTTGAATTGTTACGAGATATATTTGGTTTTGTGCTTAGATCGTAGTCTAGATTTACTTTTACCAGCTCAATTTGAACATATTAGAGTATTTTAGGATCCACAGAACGGTAGGGGTTAATTGTTTTGTTGATTTCATGTACGATAAAAGTTAACTATGAAATGAAAAAGGATTTTTAATTATTTACACAGGTGAACCATTAATGAATCTTTCGTTCCTAAATATTAGTGAATATTATTGAAATCATGAATGAATCATTGTTCGACTACCATTAGAAACCTGGAAGCCCTGGAATGCCGTTTTGCCTTGGTATATGACCCATCAGCAACTCGATTTCTGCCAGTAGTGGGAGTCATGGATGAGAACTGCGGATGAGTTACATACCAGTATGAAATGGCCGTCTAGTGCTTCCGAGTTTCTAATGGTGGTCTATCAATGATTCATTCATGATTTCAATAATAAACAACTATTTCCATACCTCTGTAATAAAATATATTCATGAATATCATGCAAAAATGTGTGGCATATTCTTATGAAAACTATGCACGAAGCATTCACTAATCTATTATGTGTTAGATTGTTGTATTTGTCAAAACACACATATGCAATTAATAAATTAAAGACAAGTTAGTTAGTGTGAGTACTTTGCTTATCAAAATACACATGACAGTATCCTTAAAACCCAGATTCTAACGACCGAGTTCTTACGTAACTATACATTGTCACGCTAATAAATAGTGTTCCATTGATTAAATGTGATTTCATCTGTTCATTAAATTAAGAAGCAATTCAGTGACTTAAAAAAAATATGCATAATCGTTCTAAGAAAAACTATCAATATTCTTCAGTCTTGTAGTCAAAGAGCTCTTAATGTGATTTTTCCCTATTTCGCAGGCAACTTCAAATTAATTTCCATTAAGAAATGACTATAGTTGTACACCATTCAAATCATACTTTTCCAATCACAGCATTATATACCTACGAATTCAAAGGGACTGGAACATGAGATTGTCAGTTTTTACTTCTAGTATTCTGCTTTTCTAATTTTTGAACTAAAAGCGTTCTCGGTAAGTTACTGTTTAACTCCAGATCCTAATACAGAATCATGCTGAAATTTAAAAAAAGCTATCACATTATTATTGCCATACAAAAAGCTGTCGGTCAATAAGACTGTTGAATTGTTAATATTTGCAGGACCATTAAAACTATTTTTATGTCATATGAATGAAACAACTTTCCATTTTTTTTTTCAATGGTTTACTAAAGAGAAATAACTATTCATTTCATTTTAATTCATGATGAAACTTTATTTTATTAAGAATTATTGTCATAACGTTAACGACCATATCAACGTTACACAAAATAAACATTTATCTATTTATGCCAACTAATTTCTAAAGTTTAAGAATAGCAAAAAAAATTTTTTTACTTGAAATGCGAAAAAAAACATATAGTTTCCCACATTATATAATGCATTCACTTAAAAATGCTATTTGATAAGAAAAAAACAATCTTGTCAAATAACAAACGTTTTTTTTTCTTCTAGTAAACAGGAATAAAAACTGTCTTATCATGCATGACAACGACATTAACAGAAAAAACAGAAACACATTTTTACATTCACTTTAATTTGTACTAATACAATTATTAAAAGTTCTATTCCTATTCTATATGCAAACAAAATCAATCGATTTTTTTGGTTTTTGTGAATAGAGTTGATTTCTGCATGAACTTTTTTGAAAGTAGAATATGTATGTGTATGTATAAGAAAGAATGGAGAGAGAGAAAAAAAACGAAGAAATAGCAAATCATATTTAGTTGCCTTAAGCGAATCAATTTTTATTTGGTCTATATATATAAATAAATATATGTATATTTCTGTAAGCTTAAAATAAAAAGAGGAAAATGAAAAATACATAGAATTTATAAGAGTTAAGTACAAACATAGAAAAAAAAAGAATAATCTTAATCAAGATATATATATATATATATATATATATATATATATATATATATATATTGAAAAAGTTCAGTAAATAACTAATGAATATGTAAATGAGTTAGTAATTTAGAAAATATGAACAATAGTAACATTAACGGAAGTATAAAAATGATATCATAATACATCGTTTATGGCAGTAACTCAATTAGGCGAATAATTAAGCTTTAAGTATTCAACTACTATATTTCCACGGGAAAATTGGCCAGAAACTTATCATTGGTCCACTGTTAGCATTTTGCGCCCAGGATTATTAAGTCCAGAAGCAAAGGGCGTTTAGCCATTAAACAACATTTTGGAATTTAACCATACGTACATCTAAATTTAGTTAATTTGTGGTGTAACGTGTAGTGTGTACTTACATTGTTCAGCTTACATGGCTAGTCCCTGTCTTTGGACGAATTAATCAATCTATTGTTCTTGAGTTCTTATTCACACGTCCGACCTTGATAGTTATTTAATTTTTTTCAAATTATAAAAATAGGTCTGTTAAAATTTAACTACGACTTTTTTGTCAAATTTTTGTGCCAAAAACCCTTAAAATTATTAATTTTTCCTTTCAAGGCTATCGATCGAGGAGTAATTTGGCTATATAAAAAGCAATATATGCTTTCTTCGTATTTTCAACTCCTTTTGTATAATTCTTATTCATGGATAATACTATAGGAATATTAGCGATAACTTAATGATATCATGATTTGTTTGCTTATAGATTTCTGTTAGCAGACACGAAGGTAAATATATGAGCAAATATTGAAAACAAATCATAACAAAGGCCAGTGAAAGATTCATATACGGAAAATGTCATGCATTTTTTGTGTAAGAAAACAGGAACAATACTCCGTTAAATTGAATCAAACAATGAGATACCTGCAATGAAAACTTGCAGAAATACCAAGTTTTGTCGGTCAAGCGTTGATATGACTTAGACCATCTATTAACGCATGAAACCACTTAGTATTTGAATAAAAACACATAAAAATGTACAGATCACTTTGCTAAAACGAAATATTCATCAAAATAAAAGTATATTACCTTAAATGAAAAATTAAAATCATACTATTGATACTGGTAACTGGATAGGATTATAACATGATACTCACCTGTCGATGAAGTTTGACGAGATGAACAATTATTTACATACTTCACCAGAACAAGTCGAACCTGATCACCAGCTTGTTTTAAAACACGAACTGCTTGTTCATGTGTTACATCAATAAGCGGTGTATCATTTACTTGAACAATTCTATCACCAATACGAATTCGACCATCTGTTTCTGCAACACCACCAGGAGTAAGCTAGAAAAAAACATTCAAAAGTAAGTGCACATTGAAAAGAAGACATATGGCTAGTATTTGATAAGTTATATTCAGTTATTCACGCTTCTGTTTAGGGATTTATTAATAACCATATGAGAGTCATTTAGATTGTGATCTCTGTCTGATCAATAACTTGAAATACATTGATTTATGAATTCTTTAAGCAAATCACATCTATCTTCATCTATTCATATCGTTTTTATTCAGGTTGTAATAGTCTTACTGATTTGTTTTTTTATCACTATTATTATTATTCAGTATACTTCCTACCTTACTGATATGTCATGTATTTATATATTGATCAGATTAATTTTTTCAGAATAGCTATTAGCCATTGTAAACGATTATGCGTTCCAGAGGCTAAAGTTGACGAATTAAACTTTATATTGGGGCACAGTTTTGGAGGTTTGCGTTTTTACACATTTGAAATCATTAATTATCATCAATTAAACTTTGGAAAATATAGTGAGTTATTGGTAAACATATTTAAATATGTGATCTCATGTAAAATGATGTCAAAACTATTTGTGCGATATATATGAGTTAACGAAGCGGTACATAACAGGGAATCAACAAAATAGCCATAAAAATAAATATGAAATATTAAAGGTGAATGTTTCCAGAACACCACTCACGTATGGTATATCCATACATACCCTATTGTGTGTAAGTTACCTGAAATCTTTTGTGTTTTTTGTGATTGATGTTTTCTTCAATTGCTAGTCTTAGTGTACTATACACTTCATCTTAAAAAATTTATTAATTACTGAACCGAATGTATGTCAAATGAACTTTATGTAAAATGAATATTAGTAACCGAACCATTTTTATATTCCGAATTATAGGCTGAACTAAATTACGGTAAATATATCAGCCAACCCGACTAGCTAATCAGGCGAGATATTAAGATATGGAGACAAATTACAGAAAAAAATCCAGTGAGAATTCGAGGATTAGGAGTTTGTAGTGTACTACGAAATCACAATCATCCCACTATACAGATCATTATCAATATTTTGACTGTAAAAGTCTCACTTGGTTGAAGATAATGAAGTAGTGTTCTAATGGATTAAAACAACTTGACTGACAATACTGCATTATTGACGAAAACAAACAGAAACAAATAAAAATGATTGCTAAAACTAATTTATCATGAAAAATTTCTGCCAACGAAATTTGATCAATATTTTTTTCCATAAAAAAATATTATCCAATAAGTATCTTTTGGCAAATTCTTTTTAAATTTCGAAGCATCAGATATAACTTAAAAAAACCAAATATAAGAGAAAAGTTTTATTATGTCATTCTCCTCGCAAGAATGAGAACTCCTGGTACAACATCATAGGCATATAAATTTAAGGTGTTTGGTATGGCTTCAAAAATTACAGATTCACAGAATTGTATCGTGCTGTTACAACCTAGTTTTTCAATCAAAAATTTGTCTCCAGGTTTAGTTTTCCACTGCCATTTATGACTCACAGATTTAAAAAAATATGGGTCATTCACAACCTCGTGTGGTGGATGCTACTCACAAGGTAGCAAATAAATAGCATGCAGTGATTCGTCGTCTGGGAGTTGCTATCAGAGAGAGGAATGTTTGGACATCTAAACACGTGGTATAATCAGAGTATATTGAAGGCCAGAAGAGATGTCAGGGAAGAAAATCAATAACCTGCTTCTATTGTAGATGGACGTCTGAAGATAATGTGTACATTTCCTGTAAATAAACGTTGTCTTCCCAAAATGATCCATCTGATCTTGACTTCTTAGTACGTTATACCATTTATCAAATAGCATTCTATATTCAAATAGGAATATTGTAATGTAGAATACAAGTACTTAATATCGTAACAAACCTTAGTTATAAATATTCCTGAGTCTCCATTGATTGTTTCATTTCCAACACCACCAGTTATACTGAATCCTAAACCGCTTTTTGTTCCTCTAGTGAGAAGTACATCCACAACAAGTGGACCAGGCTTTGGAGCTGGTGTAGGTCTGACACCAACATTTGTAAATTCGTTAGATTGGACGGATCTTTGAGATTTTCTATTTCCTCTTAACTTCTGTTGGCTAGAATTTTTACTACTTCCTTGTAGACTATGATGACCACGGCTTAATGATGCACATCCAGCAGTCACACGTTGTAGACCACTACACCAAGAAAAAGCTGGGAATCTGTCAATTTAAAAATATAACAGAAGGCTTTACATTTTTCACAAAAGTTCGTGACATACTCATAGATAATCAGTAAGTCAATTCGAAAACGACATCAAAATTAAAATCAACCCCTGCTTATGAAATATTAAATTTTTCAGTGATAATTTCAGTAACTTTACAGCTTCATTCTATCGAAATACGGTTAATAAAGTTCAACTTTGGGGAAAAACTAGAACCTAGAACTTGAGAGTTAGCACTAAGTTCATGATTTCCAAATATAAAATACAATCCAATATAATGATTACACAATCTTGCGGATTTCGTTGTTCAAAACAGTGGTTCCCCTTGATAAATTTGAACAGAGAAATGAGAAGACATATTTTGTGAGATAGTACCATTTCGTGCTTTCTCGTCAGTCACATACAGTTTTGAAGATAAGGTCAAAATTTCTTATTTAGCATGACATTCACTCACTAGAACCATGGTAAACAAAGGTCAACATACAGTTGTTTTTGAACACATAAAATTGGACTTTTCCGACCAATCAAGATAGCTTCGAGTAGTTTCAGTGTGTGTGGGTTTTGATGACATGTCACAACTCTAAAGACTGATTTTGGGTCAATTTGATGACCACTCATCATTAGATGTTTTGCAATGGACGAGGCTGGGTTTCTTGATCGATTTTGAGATGACGGGTTGGGGAATCGTGGATTCGATTAACCATTTTGGAATATGTTCCTCTATCCTGTCTTCCAATCGGCGATCTGTCCTACCTAAGTAACTTTCTCCGCAGTTACATGTGAATTGGTAAATACAGTGGGATTTGGACTGAATCGGTCTTGGAGACTTGATTGGGGTAACTGAGATCGATTGGGTTGTTGTGATAAGCCTCAGATTAGCTGCATTGAAGGTCTTTTTTATTGCAGCCGCAGTCTGTTTGGTTGTAATTTTCATGCAATGATCACCCTTGAAAGGTAACTGTAGGTAACCTGGTTTCTTGGGCACATCAGTTTCGTCGTGGTTGTGTTCTGATGACCAATAAACGTTTCGGGATATCCGTTTAATTTAAGTGTCTCAGTAATAAGCTTGAATTCGTCGTTCAATGTATCAGCAGTGCAGATTCTACTTGCTCGAGCGAATAAAGTTTTGACAACAGAAAGTTTATATTGTATGGGGCAGAAAGTGAAGGTACTGTCCCGACCAGGTGGGTTTGCGGTGTACTTTTCGTCTGATTAATCCCTCTGGACGGCAATGGAGCAGGATGTCGAGGATAGCTAGTTCATTATTCTTTTCTTCCTCATAAGTGACTTTCAGATTCGGGTGAATCGCATTCAGTAAATCATTGACTTCATTAATATCTGTAGAATGTGGTAATATGACAAGAATATCTTCGACATATCGTCTGTAAAGTGTAATACCATCGATGAAGTGACTCACTTGCCTTTCTATCATTCCCATGAATATGTTTGCTAAAACAGGTCCGAGAGGGCTTCCCATAGCCACTCCATCGATTTGCGTATATGCTTTACCTTGGAAATAGAATTTTATATTCTTTGTGCACAGCAAAATTAGATCTCGAAGATAGGTAGTTTGAATGGGTATTCTTATGTTGTGTGAAGTTATGAAGTCACAAATAAATTCCACAGTTTCTTCGAGAGGTACGTTTGTGAACAAAGAGTTTACATCGAAAGAACACATCCGACTATTAGAAATATTCAAGTGTTCCAAGGTTGGGAGAAGTTCAAAGGAATCGATGAAAGTATGTGTCAACAGTTGTTTACAAACAGGATCCAAAATTTCTTTCGGCCACTTTGCTAGCTTATGGTATGGTGAATTTATCATGGACAAAATTGGTCTCATAGGTGTTGTAGGCTTGTATAGTTTCGGTAAGCTATACATTTGTCGTGTGCATGTACCAATGGGCTTGAGCATTTTATAATGGGCCTCGGTGATAAAACCATGAAGAATGAGTAGATGTAGTTCTCGGCATAGCTGTTTTTCGACCAACTTCACGTTATCGATCTGTGAATCTGATTTAAATTTAGCAGAGTCTGAGAGGATCACGTTCATTTTCGTTATGTAGTCATCCTTATTCATGACTTCTACACCGGAACCTTTGTCTGGTTTGGAGATTGTTATTGTGGAATTGTTCTTAAGTTCCTTCAATGCTTCCTCGTGCTCATTCGTTAGACAAGAATTTTGGTTGATTGGAGTGTTCGCAAATTGCTGGGATATATCAACTAATTTGACTTTGAACCATGCCTCATTCTCAGCTAATGTTGGAGTCGAATTTGAGAACTGGCTGTAGAGGTTTTCGAAATTGGCGTCCACCAAATTTTTTTTGATTCTTTTAGGTGGTACTTTGTAGTTTAGTCCGACTGAAAGAGGTTCTAGGTGAACCTTGTCAAGATTGAAGTTAGATAGGTTGTGAACACGTTCTGTGAGATTTTCTGGAAATTCTGAAATCGTTCGGGTCTTTGATAGAGACTGGTTGAGTTTCGTCCATGTTCGGTTCGCCGTTCTCTCTACTATACCTTTGCAGAAGTTTAGTAGTTTAATATGGCAAATGATGGATAGTTGTTCAATAAGTGGTATGAAATGTGTGCAAGTTTCTTTGTATCGGTTTATTTTGTCAATGCACGAGTCAGTCTGAATTCATATTAACTTCCTCAGATTCGAACTTGTCATTCGCACTTTATTTCGTCGAAGCATTTTGTCATAAATCCATGGGAAGTGGTTGTTAATAATGCATTTATTTAGAAATACCAACCTGATCTTTTCGGTCATTAATTTACACTTCAAGCTGACTAGTTGGTGCAGCTTTTTGATGGTAGAATGTGGGAGTCTCCTTTTTAGAAATTCAAAACAGTGGTTCCCTTTGATAAATTTGAACAGAGAAATGAGAAGACATATTTTGTGAGATAGTAACATTTCGTGCTTTCTCGTCAGTCACATACAAGCAACATGTTATTTGTGTAAATACAGTTCAAAAACAACTGTGTGTTGACCTTTGTTTACCATGATTTCGTTGTTATAAGTCAGAGTTTTCCTGTAAATGAAGCTGAAAAATTTGTCATAGATATTACAAATTATAATCTCTCTCCAAACAAAGAAACTACAACTAATTCAACTTGTTTAATACAAAATGATAAAGTTACAATAGTTTTATAAAATCCGCCCAAAGTAGCCATCATTAAAAAGAACACCTTTTTTTGAACAAGAAAGATGAAAAGCCAATAAATTTTTTAAACAGATTATAATTATTAAAGAATCGTTTTTATGTTTTAGAAAATTTTCTGTCTGTTCCGCATATCTGCTTCTTGTAAACTATTTACTTGTTATACCAAAAAAAAGAGTTTATCTGCATGGATAGTTAAAATCTCAATTATTTCTCAACAGGCAATGATGAGTTCATGGAACAGTCATCTAATAAACAAACAAACAACATACTGATAAATAGATCGGCAGACAAACAGATAGATAGATATGTAGATAGATAGATAGACAGACAGACAGGAGCGAAATCCAATTGATAACAGAACACACCTTATTTATATCAATAAAATGTGACATTGTCAAACCATACATAGAATATTGAAATTGTTCAATGAAACAAGAACATAATCAATACATACATTTCATAAATAATAATGAATAAACAATAATACGTAATGATAGGAAAAAGCGTATTTATATATAAACATATAATTTTATATCCACCGAGAATAAAATGTCCTCATTAGGTAAATGAAAGTCAATCGAATCGGGTTGGAAATCATTATTTCGAAAAAAGAATATTTTGCAATGATAAATAATCTTATGTGGTTGGAGGAAATTGCCTCATTCTATTTTTTTCTCCTAAACGGCATTAGTGGTTAGATAGTGTTCATTAGTAATTATATTACAAATATATTTAAGAATGAGGATTATATCTCTTCTTATCAACCAGTCATAATTATTATCTAAAAATAAATCAGCAAAATAATATATGACGACCTCATAATCTATTTATTCTGAATAGAATAATATTTTAAATGTTTATTAGTATTTATTTGTTATGAATAGTCATTATTTTGAAAGGAAAATTATTGTATGCAGCTTTTTGAACCACCTACACACAGGCGGCATTACAGAATAAGCTTTGAAACACTTCTCTTAAAAACAACAAACATAACAGTAATCATGATAATCATTAAAAATACTAATAACATAGTGAAATTATTCGAACTAACTATTAGTGAGTGCTTCGGTATTATTCAAAGATTTCAACATTTACCAACATTTCTATTTTACTCATATTGATCGAAAAGATTCTATTATTTAAATATCACTGTAATAACCAAATGTAGAATAGTGACAAAATATTGAGGAGAAAATTGACTTTTGCATATGTATGTACATAAGACAAATTCGAATGCTTGTTATACGGTTCTAATTTGACCTTCATTTATGCACATTATTATATTCTAAAGTAATAAGAAAGTAATTTACATGGTTATAAGTAAATTAGGATATGAGTTGTCGAAATGAACACCATTGACTATTCATTTTAACTTTAAATAATAAGCAAACCTAATGGAATGTGGTATATTTTCTATACAAAATGAGATAAATTGAATAGCTAACTGAACTAAAATATAAGTATTTTCACTTTTCATCTCTCCAAGTTGATCACTGATGAAACCTCATTGAAAAACAAACTTTAAGTCATTCAATCACCAATAACTTTGACTTTCAAAATAAAAAAAATTGGTGGCATTCATAATGAAGATAATTGATAAATAAAAATATAATTATTATTATTCATTAAGATATTGTTGAGTGGTTTTGAAGTTATTTACTTCACGAACTGATATAGTTGAAAGGAAACTCATCATAAAATTAAGAGGAAACTAAAATGTCAATAGTTCTATGAAAACATGTGATTTATTCATTCTGTGTAGTGATCAGTAATCAGATGATATTGACAAAACACAGCTTAATTATACAAATCAATTTATGTAAAACATCGTGTAAGAACAAATAGAACTTGTTTCGGTTTGACCTGCTCTTGACTAAATTTAAGCTTTCCCGTTACATTGTCCAAATTTATCAGAAGGGACTAATTACTTTAAAATTCTCACTATCGTTATAAAATATTATGTAATAGATAATCGGTAAATTAGGTTTTTGGCCATCAGATCTGATTTCTAAAACACCTTACTCTTCTTCAGTGTCCAGTCAGCTGCATGAAATAATTATTTCTGATTGGTACTGTTGATTAATTCGATTGTATAAGTCGTCATTAAGTGATAATGACAATTAAATCATGCTTAATTGCAAAGCAAATGTTACTGGCTTATTGAAGTTTTATGAATGCGTTAAATATCTCAGAATTGCAAAAAACTGTTGTGTGTTTCATGAAAGTAAATGTGATTGGCCAGTGGGCATGACCTGACAAATACATTTTAATTTTAATTTCTTTTGACTATTATTGATTTCTTCTCTGGATTCCTGCGTGTAAGCTGCATGTAATAGCTGCAAGTAATATCTTGTCGAAATCCTTGTTTTCTATATCCAGTCGTCAATGATGTATCCAATAACAAATGACACAATCTAATTATAGCTTACTGATCGAGTATCTAGCCTAGTAGTAACATAATATAGGTCACTAGTCCTATAATCTTATAATAAAAGTATATCGTACAAACGAAAAATATTTTCATTTCCTTGCTGTATCAAAAAAATAAAAGGATACATTTATAAAGCTCTGAGCAAATAGTGCTAATTTATGACATAAATAATCAAATTAGAAGTAAACTGACATTACAGTTAATCAGATCTAGATCTAAATGTTATTCAATCATTCATCACATTGGTACAAATACATTTTATGATGAATTATTGGTGGTGAATGAAATCCTTAGTTGTTGTTCATTTTTTTATGTATCTTGAGACTTTTCCACTGCACTTATAAGCTTAACATGTAATTCACTGGTCAGCAGTAGGTTTTCAGTGACCTTTACTCGCAATCACCTATTAATTTAATTATACCATACATAAATTTATTTCTAATATACAGAAAGAACTATATCAAGGTAATTTTCATTAAGAGATTATATCAGATAGAAATTTTCAACAAAAAAAGAAACTAGTTACGATAATCAAGTTCGCCATTTATTCCGTTATTTAACTTTGATATTACACTCTGATGAATAGCAGACTAACTCAATTGTAGTTCTATACAATCGTATCAGTTAATTTCGATTTCAATATATATTCTTGTTCACTATTAGATAATTATACATAATTATGAAATGATCGCTGGGATAATTTATGCAATATTCAATTCCTATCTTTAATCATGTAAATAAAGTCTACATTTGTTGTTTATCAATAAATTATTCGATAGAGAAAAAATAGTAGATTGTGGTAACGTCAATTCACAATGCATTATTACAGTGCAAAATAACAAGTAAACACGTTTTCATTCCCTAAGGTGTAAGAAGTTCTATATATATATATATATATATATATATATATATATATATATATATACAATTCAAAATATTCTGTTTGCAGTTAATCATAATTAATATTCAATCAAAACACTTTAATAATTACCCTACTCAAAAATGTTAGATCTGTAGGAAATCGTAGTAACGAAAAAATTAGTACTAATAAATATAGATAATTAAGAGTATAGAGAATAAATGAATTATAAATGTCTGAATTAGATGTTATGTTTTTTTTGTAACATGTTATCTTCTAACTTATGTTCACGAATTACTAACATTCTTGAATTAAGTTAAAGATCAAGTGTTGAACATTCGTACTTGTTAAACTATCTATGGAATTGTGTTCAGCTTTATGTACGCCAATTCGTCCATGCACTGAAAATAGTGATCATGAAAAATACACCAATGTGTTCGCAAATACTTGGCCAAAAAAACCTCCATTAAATAAATGAATAATAAATATTTTGAACAAAAAGAAGCTTAACTTTTTTCAGTGCTACTAGAAATATCGTGACGATATTTATTATATTATCATTCATTAATAACTCTAAAGTGATTCTACTCAGATAAAATCAATTACTACAAAAACGTGTGATTGTATACATGGAGATGCATTCATATTTGTATTCGTGCTATTCTAATGCAAAATTCCACACAGAGTCATATCTCAATAGCTTAGCCATTATATCAAACAGAAAAAAGAAGTCATATTTTTTGAAAGATTATCAATAATCTATTATTCCAACACAAATAAAAGCTGAATTAATTTTAATTTGTGTACATTATGCAACAGTGTAACAAAATAAAAATTAAATGTAAGACTAAACAAAAAAAACACAATAAAAGCGTTTCATGTTAATAATTAGTATAAAGTGCTAGAAAATTAATTGGCTTGAAGTTGAAACATTTGGCTGAAACAACAAGTCTCAACTAACTGAAGATTTTGTTAATGAACACTGAGTTTAAAAGAGGTATGAAAACTGGGATGACCAAATATTTGACGACAACTTTACATTCAGTGGAACTACGAATTGAATTTTTCATTATATGTCTGATACAAGAATGTGTCTGGAACAACTTACTATTTCAGGCTATCTCAATTTGCGTCTACCTGTTTACTTGCTGGTATAGAGTTCATTTTATCTGAAACACAAACAGTACTCTTTACAAACACATATACAAACACTATCCACAATGGTTATCAAACGATGAGTTTAAATTGGTCAATAAGTCGATCGTTGAACATCTGTTATATTCTGATCATCTAATTCTATCAGAGTCCTCATTCAGAACTACTGACAAAGTAAAACCAGTTACTTGAAGTAAACCGAACAAAAAAAACTTACCCGAACGGAGAACTTCTCGATTTATATACCCAAAACTGATTTTTGTATTCAGAAGAGTATATCTGATCCCTTAGTTTATCATGTTCTCAACACCTCTTCATGTTTGCTACTTTCTTATTGATTTATATTTGCTTACGCTTTTTTGCCTTCTTACATTATTCATATGAACACTCATCTTTCTCACATTCCTGTTCAACAAATTATTTTGTAAAGGTTTTTGCTCATAATTTTATCGTTCCCATAATTGTCAGATGGGTAATTTTTCATTTATCATTTCTATGTTTTATTTCATTCACTCACTCTGGCCGTTATGATTGATTTTTAGTACTTCTGTTCATAAATGCAATAGTTTCATAATTTTGTTATAAAACATGATGCATATAAAATACATAAAAATTAACCTTAACAGGTCTAGTAAATGATATTGTCGGGAGGAAAATTTTATTTACTGTAATATGTTAATTTACTCAATTTTCCATTAATGAAAATTGCACTAACGTTAATAAATGTATAACTTGAATAATAATAAGTGTATTATTACGTCGTATTTTGAAAAAAAAAGGCTGCTTACCCAGCGCATGCCACTCCACGCCGAGACAATCTTGAACCAGTACTATTCAATCTAATACTAGCTTGACTACCTTTTTGGTTACTTTGTACTGTAACAGCATTGAAATCGTCCGATGATTTGTGAGCATTATTATTAGTCTTTTGATCGTCTGGTACAACAATTACTCCAGTCATTGAAGGTGATACATGAACACTGGTTGATTTATGAGGTAATTTGTTTAACGACATTGTTGTTGTTGTTGAATTTAATGTATTCTTACTATCTCTATGATCAAATAGTGATCTACTTATCAGGCTAGTTGTTGTTATACTCGCTCCACATTCAATACTTTTCACTCCTCCTGTACTACCTGTATTTGTACTAGCTGTTGATTCAATATTCTGTGCATTCAGTGATTGATTAGATGAAGATGGTTGATGATCTGACGGCTGAACGCTTGATGGTGATATTTTCATAGTATCTTTTGTAGCTTTCGTTGGAGTTTTAGGATGAGAATAGGATGAAGAACACGACAATAATGAATATTGTTCATGAGTAGCCAGTTCTGCTTTACGTTCAACTATCTAAAGTGAATAAGGAGATTTTTTTCTCAAATTTAATTCATTTTATTAAACGTTCAAAATAACAACATCCAGTACATATTAACTCATACAGTTCCAAAGAATATGACAATGTGTTACTTAATCTCAGTGTGTAAATTAAAAATATATATAGGTTGAATTAAAATTACAATCTATTTTAATTATCCAAGTATTTTAACAAAAAACCTATCAAACCTATGTAACTAAATGAATGACTAAATTCTTAGAAAAGCATAGTGATAATGAAAAATATTTGAAATTCATTTGTTTTTACACTTTGAATGAAAAAAAAGCAAATGATTTTAAATAAGTTGATGACTAAAGGAATAATTAACTATCGAATTTTCTATATTATTATGTGATCATTATTTGCGCAGATGGTTTTTTAGGAAAACTATATATTATAAACCTATATGATCCCAAATTTATATTGATCCGAGACATTGAAGATTGAACAGCACTGAACACTCATATTTCTAGCTTGATTAAAAGCGCCCGTAAGTGGCTACTCAATAGCACAAACGACAACCAATCCATGATGATGAAACACTGTCTATCTAATGAAACAGTACTAAAGTATCTGCATTTTCACATTCAGATAGTATCTTGAACTTCATCTAGCGTTATTTGATATGTACAATTAGATTTTTGTTTCTGCTTAAATCACAGTTCAGGACTTTAAAACAGCTATTATTTGATCATACTTCTTTACCTGGTGAGACTGATTCAACTCAAACGTGTTAAATACATGTATCAGATGAAATGGTGTAAATCAAATCCACAAAATAATCTGTTTAACTAAGCATCTCATACACATCGATATACGACCTTTCAATCATTAATTATTCATTATTATTACTGTACAAACTATCAAATCCCATAATGTCCATCCTGTTTTTGAAAACTGAAAAATGTTGTCTGTCTTTGTTCAGTCAATACGCAAAACGAACTGAACATTTTCAGTTGTTAACATACAAATGATAGGATAATTCATCACTGTAATACTTATTCTATTATAATATATATTATTTGAATATATGCATATTTATGAAACTGAACACACACACACACCCACGCACACATAATCTAGTCAAACCAGTCTATCGAATTCATCTCGAATTGATGTTAGTCTGTATTGGATGATGAAAACTTATGAAGATCTAACTTCACTAAGAAAAACTATCTAGCAAGAGTAAATAAAAAGACGATTATGATTAAGTATGAAACTAAACAACCTACGAAACTCATGTTACAAAATTTTCCTAGATAAAATTGAATAGCTTTTTTTTCATTGAATACTAAAATCTTCTTGAGAAAAATCACACAATTCTAAATTATAGTTTTTCTCTCAAAATTGAATTAAGATGAAATAGTTAGATTTCTTTGAAATTAGCACTTTTTTTCAAATAAAAACAGAATATACCCCTTTGAGAGTTAAATCAAGAAAGAATAGTTCAGTGGAAATTTTACTTTTCGGCGAATTCGTGTTCAAAGCTGTACAATCGCAAATATAATAAAGTTTTTTTAAACATAGTAAGAGTAAGACAGAGTAGCTAAAATAAAAAACCTTATAATGGTTAAGGGAATTAAAAATAATGCTGTTTTTGTTGAGGGCTTGAATAACAATCATGAAGATTAACAAAGAAAATTATAATCGAAAAGGCTCAGCGGGTTTAGATAAAATGTTCAAATCTTGATTAACTGTAATCAGGAGAATCGTAGAATCAGAAACAAATCAGTTGCGGAAAAAATAGTCTATAGGGAAGAAGATAGAAGGGAAGCAGATAGCTGCGAGAGTAGATAACAAATTTTATTCTACTTTTTCGAGAGATTAAGATCATGGTGGGAGAAGCTGTTGTATGAGTTTCTTCTGTACACATAAGTACAGATGTATGGGGAGTGCTTCAGCAATGCTAAGAAGACAGAAGTCAAATTCCTATGACAGCTTTCTACTAACGTCATAGATAATGCAAAATCCATTTTTGATAGAATGATCTGTGATTACAAAGTGTTCGATTATAGAGCTTCTTATTTAGCCGTTTTCACCTCTTTTTAGCCAAACCCAATGAGATTATCGAATTCTTTTGAATAAAATATGCATCGAACTACCTACATATACGTACCTATTTATATATCTGTACATATAGATATATATTTATATATGTATTCATATATATTTATATGTTATCGAAAATGGAATTCGTTGAAAAGAGAACTCTCTGCTGAAACAATCTTCTCCGAAACTGATACAATATCTCTATAGTCTATTATTTATGTTAAAAATATTGAAATATTCAGTATTATTTGTAAGATTGTAAACAATTGTATCCAGTAATCAAAATTTCACAAAAATAATTTTTTTTAAATGTTGAACTATAACATATTCATGATTTTTTTAGTATAAAAAACTATAAAATAAATAAATAAGTACAAATGATCTACTGCCAATGAATATTAAAGTTATAAAAATGAAAGTAACTTACATTTTCAATTGAAAAAAAAAACACCTAATACAACATTTCAAAGTTTATCATTTAAAACAATTAGTTTTAATAAAACTAATTTTATCAGAGTGAAAAAAGAGTGATTAAAAATTTATTTTCGAAAAACAAAAATCACAATTTTTCAGTATCATAATCCATCGTTGATTCGAGTAAAAAATTATGATCTCTATCATGATTTACCATTATGGAAATAATAACAAGAGTAGAAAACTGACAGAAAATGAAATTAGAAACACTGAATGAAAAATTTTCAAAATTCAATTTCATGCCTAAGTGGTTAGCTAAGTTCAGTTGGAAATAGCTTGATTATCTAAGCTCCAAAAGCTTCCACATATTAACAATCAATCTTTAATTATTGTTGATGATATATTGTGGGGATTCGATTAATACCGAAAATGTCAAGTTTGCCAACATCACTGAACAGCAGTGGGCTGTGATTTAGCAAACATAAAATATAACATATATACCTTGTTAGTGAAATCGAAATATTTAAGCGATGAAAACAAGAATACTTGAACTGAATTGATTGTACTTTAAATTATAAATCTATGTGTAATAAAACTGAACTCGCCCTCATATGTAAGAGGAAACAAACTCAATCTAAGCTTTCTCGTCAAACTACTCAATAAGCTATCTTTTACATCTGATGAAGCTATTCGATCTGCAAGAACTCGTAATTATTGCTTCCATAAATCCTTGTCACTAGTGATACAATCTTATTCTAAATAAATCTTTGTGAATTATTTTGAGACTCTGAAATTATTTGACGCAATCTGTCACTGAAATAAAATCACTCCCATTCATTATTCGCTGCACTGATGCCTATTACTCCTCACAAAATGACTTAACTGTGCTAACAGTTGCAAGTAAATCGTATATCACAGTGGAGATTATCAGAAATTTAAATGTATAATCGTTTCATTGCTGAGTCCACTAATTAACCTACTTACTTGTAGGTACTCTACACTAGCACTATCCCTTGTAAATTTAACCGATTTCAATGGTATCTTACTCGAACATGAAATCATAAAATAACCTTATACCTAAATCATGGTAGAGCTGATGAACCTGACTAACCTGTATTCGTAACTACTGCTTTTATTGTTCTGTGTTCTCTGTTTCTGTCTTATTTTCTCTAGTTGTAGATGATTTTGATCAATCCGATATGGCACTGGAAATGATGTTTAATGCACCGTACGTACGTAAAATGTTTAGTTATAAAGCATTAATAGTTTCTGACTGATGTCTTGTACTACTATAATATATGTGAAAAATGTACTACCTGAACAATGTTCGAACTAGAACACTTCCAACATGGTAATGTGATATATCTATCCTCAAGATTAAACAGTGCTATTTACACTAAACTGATCATGCCTGTATACTATAGCATGAATTCCAATGATTATAATTACTATTATTATAAAATAATCATTCATTTGAAAATAGAAATATGTAAAAGAAATAAAAACCCATATGCATACACGAATCATTTTATTGTATGAATGTGTTTAGTAGTTAATATATGATCGAAGTGGAATTCTGTTTAAAATCCTGCACTGCATTACTACTAACTACAGCCTAACTAACTACAATCAGTAATTGTAATGGCTTTCATTAGAAAATAGTATATCAGTTTGTAGTAACAATATGGAATAAGTATTATGTAAAATGACATTGACCTAGTTTATTTTTACTGTTTTTATACATATATGTATCGAAAATTTCATTACACTTAGTTTTCGTTGAACTGATTTACATTGTTTGCATCATTCAGTAGCAATCATAATAACATCAGAGTTAAGAGGTTTCCACACTCTATACACTTTTTCAATTCAAGATTGCATATTCCTATTGCGTCATATCAGTTCACTGTTGGAAAGCGTATTTCTATATTTATTCCAAAAAAAATACCATATTTTTATATTCACTGATTACACAAAAGTGCATTTATTTGATTAAAGAGTTATTTACTAATTGTAGAAAATCAAAACATTTTTTAACAAAATATAATTTAATTATTTGTGAAAGGAATGTTTTCATTAATGGAAGGAAGCATTTATATAAATGATAGCCTCGTAAAACTTTGGCATGATGAACCTGATATTTAACTACTCAATAATAACTGTTCATTTAAGTATGATTACAACATAACACATAAAAAAATACTCATATAGTTGTTTCACTGCAATAAAAATAGTTGAAAATTGTTTCTACTTAAAATTAAATGAATATCATGAACTACGACTTGATTGTCAATTCAACTGCTTCATTCTATTCAGCAGTAAAACATACCGATCAATCAAATCTAAATTTAACCTCAAATATTAGAAAATAAAAGTGTTGATCAATCAGGTCGAATTCATAAACATTTTTTTTTCAACAAAAGACCGGTAATAGTAGTAGTTTATCGATCTTTACACAGTTAACGGTTATTTTTTTGCATCGAAAATAAACTGATCAGACAACCAATATTTTCAAACATTATATTTATCCTTGGAGTCATATCAATGGTATGAAATACAATATGTTCAGACAGATAAAAAAATATATTAGATTGGCAAATGTAATAAATAAGTGTTAGGAGGAGAATAGGAATAAATTATCTCTCTATGTCGCATGCCAACCATTTGTTATAATTAGCATTAATATTATTATTATTATTACTACTACTACTACTACTGCTGGTAATTTTACCTCAGATATTATAATTATTATAATTAATGCTGTCAGTCTTAATACAAACACTAATATGATTATTCATTGGGAAAACATAAAGAATGGCAGCCTTAATCTAAAAGTCAAAATAAATTAATAAGAAAGAATAACAGTCTAATGCATAAGGAATGGAAATCGTATGGAAATTAGCGCATGCACAATTTCAAAGTAAAAGAAACATAATAAATAAAATAAGAGAAAAATACAACAGAATAGTGTTATCGCAAATAAACAGTTGTATTTACAATCTTTTTATTTCACTAAAATGAAACATGCACAAAATATCTAACCTGATGTCAAAAAAAAGAACTAAGAAAGGCAGTTGAAAATATGGAGGAATATAGGAATAATAATCATGATAACTTATCAGTAAAAAGTAACATCATAGTAGAATTATTAGATGAAATGTAGATGAGTTTAACCATTTTATGGTATGAATTTTAGTGTATTATTTTTTCTATATACTGAACAAAATCGAAACGAGTCGAATAAAATCAGAAAATAAAAACAGTGAAAAAAAATATGCCTAACATTCGGAAGAGAGAGAGCAAACCAACTGGTCTGTAACTATAGTTTACAACGTATCTTACGAAAATCAGATCTACAAATTTTGAAGTTCTGCCCCCGAATTAAATATGACAAAATCCAGCAAAACAAACAAAACTATATGTATGCTTTTAATAATAGCAATTAGCTGTTCTCTTTCGTACCGAATAGTTAAAAAAACAGAAATTCCCCTACCGATTGCTTTCAGCCATACAAAATCTAACATAATGTCTCATGCTGTAAAGTTACTATTTTGTTAGCTTGATAGAAGGATTTCGACAATATGATTTAGGTTACAACAAGTGACAGATTAGTTTAAACTGTACTATTAAAAGTGATAAATCATTCATAAGTAATTAAAACAAAATACTTCACTTCGCTTAAAATTTCGGACAAATCAATAAATGTAAACGTACCAATTTCAATTTGGAACCAGCCAGTTGTAATGCTTTAACTGCTTCATTATGTGTAGCACCGATAAGACTAATACCATTGACTGATAATATTCTGTCACCAAATCTGAAAAAGTAGAACACAACATTATCAGTTCTGTTTTCTTATCTCATTTTTAAAGATTTATAAAAGTATATCTAACCAGCTTAGATAAGTGTTTCCCAGCATTTTAGTAGGGTTTTATAAAAAATTAAGTTCATTCATTTCAGAAGTTAAAACACTGACCACCTGGAGTGTTTTATGAATATTGTGCTATAAAGTGATTCACCTAACATTGAAACTAAAGGACTATTCAACACCAACTCATTGGTTTAAATATATCATGTTTGCAATAAGACCTCACAGTACTTGCTTAGATCTGTAGGTATAAAATGCATAGGGTTACGGACTGATACAAAAGAACTGACAAGCGTTTCTCAAATTCATACAACTTTCACTAGAATTGAGTATACCATCAAATTAAACAGTGTATTCACAAACTTCTTGTTTTTCTAAAAAAAAAAGTTTCAAACAGAATTCTCTAGTACCACCCTCTTAAAAATGTCAATCCTCTCGTAACATAGTCCACTGATAATGAATTGTTTAGTTTAACAAGAGGGAGAGAAAATAAGTGGAAAAATACCCTTACATTAAGATTCTATTTGAAGGATTCGCTTAATAACAAGCATAAAGTGTTTCATAAATGTTATCTCTTCTTTTTTTATCCTGATAAAATATGATAACATTGCTAGAACATAGAAGTGATAAAAAAAGATTGTTGCAACAAGAAAACATAAAAGACGTAGAAGTGGAGAAAAAAAAACCCAATAAAACAAATCAATGCGTAAATAAACAGATGAACAATAAAACTGTAATATCACATGTTTTGTTTTATTTTGATTCCGTCGTTTGTTGAAAATATAGAATATGAAAATAACAAACCTATTTATATAAGCATAACTGGTGAACTATAACAGCAGGCCATACCAAAAGTATTGTTATTTAGTTCAATCGAAAGATGATATCAGTTTTTCTAGGAAATAATAGATAATTACAGCATTTAGACCGTCAGTTTTGTTTATAAAATACAATTCAAATATCGAACGTCTCCACGTAAATGAATGTAAAATAAACCTACAGTGTACGTAACATGTGCGGATTATCTGATAACATTCATGTAGCTTTAAAGCAGTAGATCTGTCATAGTTGGTGGCACAAGGTAGCAGCATATGTTTTTTGCTAGAGTTAACTACAGATCAAAGCCATATGTATTTATTCTGTTGAGTTAATGTTAAGATAGCGAAATAGTGGGCTGACAAGTAAGCACCTGATGGCTAGTTCGAAATGTTATCAACCATCGGTTTATAAAAGATATTTGTCACAAACAACAGCATATGTGCCTTATAAGATAAACCAATAAACAACTGTCATTAGATTTCTACCAAACAAGTAGAAAATGGACACTTTCTGTCACCATAACAAAATGAATCTGTTATATGCAGTTACGTTTGTTACAAAACCTTTTATTTACTATAAAAATAAACGTAAAAGAGTAAAAATGGTAAAAAAGATTCGTTCATTTTTAATAGGACAGCCCATATCTCTAAAAGTGTTAGATTATATAACTCCAAATACTCATTAACATATGCTATATGCCTATCTTTAAGTTAATATTTGAAACGAACTATTTGAGAATAAATTCATATAAAACAAGCAAAATAAATAAAATATTTAAAATAGTAGTAAAAATTGATCATGTCATATGTCCGCAAAATAATAAAGTTCCATACCGAAAAGTTATGGATATTCTTTGTATTTCAATAGCTGATGTTATGTTTTCATGCCATTTGATCATAGAAATTCATTTTTATTTAGAACAATTTGGAAGACCGTAAGACTGATTCAAATTGCTGCAGAGATGAAAAGATACAACCTGGAGGTGCTTGGAATTAGTGAAACGCATTGCGTCAAGTTGGACAACTAAGACTAGCTTCAGGAGAGCTGTGGTTATACTCCGCCTATGAAGTAGAAAATGCCTCGCACACACAAGGAGTTTTATTATTTTGATAACTATGTTAGGGCTTTGTATAAAACAAATCATCGATGGTTATGACAGAGAACAACATACAGCAATGTTGAATAACTTTATTTGTGTAAATATTTTTGTCTAATTAATTAACCTCAATGGACGACATGAACTGAAGAAAGCAACGAAAATGGTGAGAGATTTGGAAATCTAAATGCCTTCAACAAACTGGCCATCAGTGGCACAATATTCCCACATAAACGCATGCACAAAGCCACATGAATTTCACCGGATCACTCTACTCAAAATCAAATCGATCATATCTACATCAATAGGAAGATCAGAAGGACGATGTAGGACATGGGGACCAGGAGAGTAGCTGATAAACCCTTTGATCATCACTTGCTGGTCGCCAAAATGAAATTGAAATTTGAAAGGCATCACAAAAGTTTATTACGGGCTTCCTTTGGGATGCCGTAAAAGTCAACCAATTCAAAATAGCCCTCACTAATAGGTTCCAGGCCATGCACGATATACTCAATGGAGAGGAAGCAACATTGGAGAACAATTGGAAAGGGATCAAAGAGGCATTCACTTCAACATGTCTCAAAGTCCTGGGTCACAAGAAGTACCATCACAAGGATGGGATGTCTGTTGGTACTCTTGCAAAAATTGAAGAAAGGAGCAACAAGAGGGCAGCAATCAATGTCAGCCGAACAAGAGCAGAGAAAGTTACCGCACAAGCTGCATACACAGAAGCAAACAGGGAAGTGAAGAAGAGCATCAGAGCTGACAAACGAAAATATGTGGAAGATCTAGCAATGACGGCGGAAAAGGCTGCAAGAGACGGAAACATGAGACAATTGATCGAAACAACAAAGAAGCTCGCCGGAAACTATCGTAAATCAGAACGACCAGTGAAAAACAAGGAAGGCAAATTAATCAGAAAAACTCAGGAACAACGAAATAGGTGGGTAAACACTTTAAGGAACTCCTGAATCAACCAGCTCCACTGAACCCACCCAGCATCGAAGCAGCATCTACGGACCTTCCAATCGATGTTAGCCCACCAACAACTGAAGAGATCAGTATGGCCATCAGACAAATCAAGAGTGGCAAAGCAACAGGACCAAACAACATTCCAGCAGACGCGATGAAAGCAGATGTTGCGGCAACTGTAAAAATATTCCACATTCTCTTCAAAAAGATATGGGATGAAGAACAAGTACCATCAGACTGGAAAGAAAGATACCTCAGCAAAATACCATAGAAAAGAGATCTCAGCAAGTGTTAGAACTACAGAAGCATCACTCTTCTTTCAATAGCAGGCAAAATCTTCAACAGGGTATTGTTAAACAGAATTAAGGACTTCGTAGACGCCCAACTTCGAGATCAACAGGCTGGATTTCGTAAGGATCGATCATGTACTGACCAAATTGCTACATTACGGATCATTGTGGAACAATCAATTGAATGGAACTCACCACTCTACATCAACTTCATCGACTACGAGAAAGCAGTGGAAAGCGTGAACAGGACAGTAAAATGGAGGCTTCTTTGACATTACGGTATGCCTGAGAAGACAGTCAACATCATACGGAATTCTTATGATGGATTCAACTGCAAAGTTGTGCATGAAGGAAGGCTGGCAGAATCGTTCGAGGTGAAGACCGATGTAATAGACTGGATTATGAAGACGTCGACATCTGGAGGGAAGCACGGTATCGAATGGACAGTTAGGACGCAGCTGGACGATCTGGACTTCGCAGATGACCTGGCTCTTCTATCGCACACGCAACAACAAGTGCAAGAGAAGACGACCAGTGTAGCAGGAGCTTCTGCAGCAGCAGGTCTCAACATACACAATGGGAAAAGCAAGATTCTGCGATGTAACAAAACATGCACCAACCAAATCACACTTGATGGAGAGGCCTTGGAGGATGAAAAAACCCTTACACATTTAGGCAACATCGTTGACGGGCAAGATAGATCTGTTGCAGATGTGAAGGCGTGGATCAGCAAAGCAAGGACAATTTAACATCTGGATTTTAAAACAACTGTCAACAAACACCAAAGTCAGAATTTTCAATACAAATGTAAGAGCGTCCAACTGTATGGGGCGGAAACTTGGAGAACTACCAAAGCCATCATCCAGAAAATATAAGTATTCATTAACAGTCGCCTACGCAAAATACTTCGGATCCGTTTGCCAGACACCATGAGCAACAAGCTACTGTGGGAGAGAAAGAAGCAGATTCCACCGGAAGAGGAAATCAGGAAAAAGCGGTGGAAGTGGATTAGAAAGACACTTCGGAAAGCACTCAACTGAGTCATAAGACAAGCCCGTGTTTTGGACCCTTAAGGTCAAAAGAAAAGAGGAAGGCCAAGGGACATGTTGTCCCGATAAATGGAAACAGACATGAAAAGAATGAACAAAAATTGGACAGAACTGGATAAAAAGATTCAAACAGTTTTAAACTAAAAGTATAATTATAAAGTTTTCGTAAACGATGTCACCGGAAAAATTCTCTTCATCTAAATGTCTTTCATTTTTTCTTCGATAATACAATGAATTTTTTCCATGATTTTCATATTACTAATGAAATGATTGATCATATATATCAAATGTCGCAAAATGGAGTAAAACGTTTCAACATAATAAAAAAAATTATTCAAGTCATCTTCAAAATGAACTGATATGATCTTAAAGATCATTGACGATTAATATGAGGACAGCTATCTGATCCAAGTTTATTACTTCTCAGAAGTTAGCATGATCAAACCAACAGAAGAATGAATTCATGATTTTCAACTACCATGTTAAACTCAGTGACTTTTGATAGTCACATTGAAATTCATTGGCTGACATATCTATCCTTGATCCCTATTACGATATCCTTTAGTCCCCATTGAACATATCGGTGAATTTATGTCTTCCTCTTAATTTGACAGGTCGTGTAAACTAAAATTTACTCAAAGAATTTCAAAAAAATAAATATTAAGGCTAGTTATCAATGGATTACTATTTACTAATCTCATCCTTTATTCACTATCCAATCAG